AACAACAACAATCTGACGAAGGACAGGAGCAAAACAGGTGGTATAAATACAGAAGGCTAATTAGGGAAACATGGGCAGGTTAACGAGGGACAGGTGAGAACAATACGGACTAATCAGGGCAGGAGAGAAACACAGTAAGGAGGGCAGGGCTGAACGTGACAGTATGCCTGTTCAAAAGGCTGGCCAAGAAAGGTGGAGCAGTTCCCTTAAGAGCCTTATACACCAGAATTAGCACCTTAAAGGGAGCCAGCGTAGAGATGCCAGCACACACGTGATGCTTTTAGGTGGTTTTCTACTGAACTTGTGGTTTGGCTGTTAAAAACCCTAACACCAACGCAATTCCCAGGAGTGTGTGAGTAAATTATGACCAATGATAAATGATCAGCACTTGTATAGTCCCTTTCAGAGCCAGAGGACTCCAAAGCACTTTACACTACAGTGTATTATTCATCCATTCACACACACATTCACACACCGATGGTGTTGAAGCTACGATGTAGCCACAGCTGCCTTAGGACACACCAAGAGAGGTGAAACAAGTAAGTAAACTCACCATGATCCTGAGCAGTGTAAAAGCCTTGTGTATGTGCAGTCAGCAGGACAAATGATATTATTACTGCAGTCAGAAACAAGCTGTTAGTCTGGAAGCTGTTCTGGTTCAACAAAAACACTAAAGTACTCACAGATGTGTCTGCAAAGAGCTGGAGCCTCCATTGGTGCTCAGTACAGATTGTTGAAGGTTTCACACTCACTTATGCATTTGAGCTTCCCCTTCCTGTTTGGATTATTTTTGAAGTGGATGATGTACAACACGGCAAAAACGTAAGTGACAGGCCCTGGAAACCAATAAATAGTACATAAATAGTAAAATATCTCAACAACTAAACCTCAGATATTTTTGTACTCTTCAGTTTTTTATTCTATTGTCATTCCATGGACAAGTGTGTTATTTGAGATTTAAATGTTTAATAAAATATTTTGTATGTATTTATTTGGCTCTTTGGATTGAATATTATATTTTGATTTTTATGTATTATAAAAGTTAATTTTGTTGAGTTAGAATGCACAATGTAGTTTGATAAGTAATTGAGTAAGGCTTTCTTGATCTTGATGAGTTGAGTTAACTAAATGGATGGTGGGGCATTGGTTAAACTAATTATCTTAAGTTAATGTAACTTGTTTTTTGTATATTCAACTTGAATCTTTAATTTCATCCCATTAAGGCCTTAAGTACATTGAACATACTCAGCTGCATCAATTCAACTAATTCTTCATTACTTAAAAAAATTAAGGCAACGGGTTACCTTGGTTTTTTTAAGTAGACTGAACTTATTGGGGTTTACAGTGTTGTTTCTCATATGGGCTGTTTGGTAGTGGTTTTAGTTGTGTTTGGAGAATGTGGACAGTTGTAAACATTTGGGACATAAAACTGTAGAGGCCCCCATTTGGGGGTGTTAGGGTTAAACAGGATAAAATTCATTGTCAAGACAAGTGCAATATTGTGATGAAAGCAAGCAGCTGTTAGAAACCTGCAGCATCCAGACTCTTGCACTCCCACAGAAAGCCAGGGCTAATACAGAGTATCATAGCAGCTGTGTCTGCTGGGGAGAATAAATGTCACGTATCTATGACAGCAAACCCACAATGACAACTCTGAGAGGTAGCAGTAGATTAATGATGGCAGAGTATGCTGCTCTGTGAGTCATGTCTGCTCAGGCACATGCGTCTGCTGCTGCTCAACCCATTTTATAAATTATAGCTAACTGAGGGATGGAATTAAGGAGTTTTTCAAAATAAATGTTCTGAAATAAGTGAAAATCTGTCTAAGACTCTTAATAAATGTGTTGTTATTTTCCTAAATGATTTACTAGATCGCTCTGATGGATCACTGTCTCTGTGGCATTTAATAAATCTCATGATTAATTGCTGGAAATGAAGTGTTTCCTCTGAAGCCTGCACCAGTACATTTCAGGATCTTGATTATGACCTATGTGACTTTGACCATATTTTCATAATATATATGAAGTGCACATATTAGTGTGGTCTTGAGTCAGAGAAGGGTAGAAGACCTTTTCTGGGTCAGGGATGAGGTCCTGCCCCAAATGGAGGAGTTTAAGTATCTTGGGGTCTTGTTCACGAGTGAGTAGATGGAGCATGAGATAGACAGGTGGATTGGTGCTGCGTCTGCAGCATGGTCTGCAGTGATGCTGGCATTGTACCGATCTGTCTTGGTGAAGAGAGAGTTCAGCCTGGGGCAAAGCTCTCGATTTACGTCAATCTATGTTCCTACCCTCACCTATGGTCACGAGCTTTGGGTAGCGGTCGAAATAAGTTTTCTTCACAGGGTGGCTGGGCTCTCCCTTGGAGGTAGGTTGAGAAGCTCAGTTATCCGTGAGGGGCTTGGTGTAGGTCCACTGCCTCTTCACATCAATGGGAGCCAGTTCATGTGGCTCGGGCATCTAGTTAGGATGCCTCCCTGGTAAGGTTTTCCGAGCATGTCCAACCGGGACAAGACCTAAAGGAAGACCCAGGACATGCTGGAATAGGTCTCTCGGCTGGCCAGGGAACACCTTGGGATTTCCCCGGAGGAGCTGGCCCAAGTGGCTGGGGAGAAGGAAGTCTGGCCCTTCCTGATAGGCTGCTGCCCCATCACCCGACCCTGGATAAGTGGCTGTAAATGGATAGATGGATGGATGAATATTAAGTATATCAGATTTTTTAGTATGTTTTTGAGAAATCCAGAAATAATTTAACCCTTTGATGCAGGAATTATGAAATCTTCAACCATGATTTTTTTAACAATTTTTTCCTTCATCTTTAGGTGTGAATGAAACAAATTTCAACAAATATTTTTGTAACATTTAATAATTTACCAATAATTTATTACATGTCCACCTCAGTGGACAGCGTGCATTCTGAACATGAAATATGTTGGCTTGACTTACTGAAGTCCAAATGGAGGGGCTCAAATGCAATAAAGTCTTCAACAGCTGTGCTTAATAGCAAAAATAAATAAATAAATAACAATTTTGAGTACCTGTCCACTGTAGTGACCATTATGCATCAAAGGGTTAATAAGATCTAGAATTCTATAATTCCACAAAATAAAGCTGCCAAATGCACATCTTTTTTATTCAGGAAACATTTCACAATGCTTTAATGTATTTGGATCATCCTGTTTGAGTTTATTCACAGATGTAGCCTATAATTTCAGATGGGGTTATGAGAAAAATTGTCACGGTCTGTGCTGAGTTAACCTCTGTTTGGAGCTGAGTCTTTCTGTCTGCCCCGGAGAGCAGCTGCTGCTAATCTCCTCATCAGCGTCAGGGGATTTAAGGAGCGGAGTGACAACTCACCAGTGCCGGGTGATTACTCAGTATTGGGTAGTGTCTAAACTGTGCTCTGCGTGTTTCAGTCTTGTTAGCCTCTGGAGTTTCCTGCAACCCTGGTACTCACCTGCTTGTCCTCCGGCTCCCTCGGGTACCTCTTGTCCACTAAACTACTCTTCCTCTCATGGAAGGGACTCCCCGATCTGCCATGCCTGCCAGCCACGCCGCTCGCCCCGGCCGCCCGCTCTCGAACGCCCACCTGCCAGCCCGGACACCTTTGAGCTCCTTTGCTCAGCTCCCAGCCATCGTCACCTCAAGGACGCCTCACTCAGCCAGACCTGACTCACCCTCCTCTCAAGCTCCAAGACCTTCAGGTAACTGTAAGCCCTCTGCGCATTGTCCTCCTGTATCTGCAAACTACTCATCCTTGTTTCTGCTGCAGAACTCTATTGGACCCCCCCCCCGATCTCAGATCTTCAACCACACCTCATATCAAAATAAATCATTTTTTACCTACCTTTTGCCTCAAGTGGTGATTTTTCATGTCATGTGTCAAACAATTACAGCCCAACATGACAAATTTTCCCCTCAAGTTTCAGAATTATGTCCAAAGACAACACTTTTATTTTTTTATTTGTATCATTCAATAGTTATTTGACATGAAACCTGCTAGCTGTGACACACAAGGTCATACTTTTGCTAAACTGCCTAAATCATCATTTCCTCAGTGCTGGAACAATTGCCATACAAAAAGGATAGAAAGTGAAAGCCCCAGAAATTTGAAGCTACTTTCTATCTATAGAATAACAGCTGGATGTCAACACATGTCATCCATAGGGTCTGCTGATTATTCTTTATTGTCCTGCATTAGTTGAATATAAGATGATCAAAATAACAAAATCAAATGTTTGCAGTGATATTCGCATCATAAGAGGAACACACATTTGTAACTTTGTGCAACAATAACTCATGGTTAGGTTTGCCTCAAAAGTAGCAAACATTTATATTTGTGACAGGATAGCCCTCACTCAATTTTGATAGGCGCTCGCGTACAAAGCCTTACGGTAAAAGGCTGCGAACTGTTTTTCGAAATAAAAGCCCATTTCAGAAAAATATTGTTTAACTGTTTATTTCAAAACAACTGTTCTAGAAAAATTAAAACATTTTAATTCTAAATTTACGAAAAAAAATGATTGCCATTTTAACTGGAATTTCAAAAACATAAAAAATTGTGGAAGTGACTGACAAAACAAGTTTAGACAATTATTTTTTAAATAAGTTTGCCTGGAAGTCCATAGTGATTTAATACTGTATTACAATTTGACGACCTCACGTTATCTCTGTGAAACTTCATTCAACAGCTATGAATCATGCATCCGAAAACATATTTCACACAAAACTGTTATAAGAATACCCTAAAATTCTGTTTTTTAGCAATTTCCACCATTTTAAACATGTTTTTTGAAATGCCAGTTAAAATGGTGATTAAACTCATTTTGTAACTTTAGAATTAAAAATTTTAAGTTTTTCTAGAACAGTTGTTTTGAAGTAATCAGAAAATAGGTTTCTGAAATGGCTTTTATTTTGAAAAACAGTGGACGACAATTTACCGTAAAGCTCAAAACGCGTGCGCCTAACAAAATCGAGTGCGAGCTCACTTGTGAATCAGCGAGTGGAGGCTGGCTCTAAGCTCTACCCACACCAGGTCGTATGAAGCTTTTACTGAATACAAGACTTTGCTGCCTCACTGTGGATTAAAAGTTACGGTAATTAGGTACATTTCGTCAGAGAATGTTAGAACTCTGTTTCCCAGAATGAATTTGGACTGCTGGTGACGTCAGCAGCGAAGAGGTGAAAGGGTGATTTTCGTCCTGATATTTTTCTAGTAAGCTAACGTACAGCGGCTGCGGAGCCTGGATTCATTCACCAGCTAGTGTTGCTGATTATTTCCTTCTTCTAGAATTCTTGTCAACCGGAGGCTTTTGTTAACCTCTGTGTTTACTGGGAGTTATCGCAATGTTATCATCCGTTCCCACCAGGCTTCTGACGCGAAGGTCGCGCAGCCTGTCACCGTGTAGTCGCGTGCTTCAAACTAGTGCTAGCAGCGGTGCCGCTAGCCAGGGCATCCGCGAGACGTCGGCGGAGAGTAACCGAAACCCCATCGTTTCCACGTCCCGGGTTTCCAGGAGAGGGATTTTGTCAGAGGAGACCGCTGGCACTGGTGTGAATCCATCGGTGCAGTACCATCACCTCGCACCAAGATGGCTGTCAAGCCTAGAGAACCGCCGCAACTCGTGGGCTGCTTTGGCCAACAGGGGGCGCAATAACAATCAGTACTGGGAGAAGAGCGGAGCAGGTGGAGGCGCAAGCCGCGCAGGACTGGCCTCTGCCGGTGTGCTGTCTGCAGCAGCAGTGGCCTTTTGTCTGAGGAAAGACTCAGATAGCAAAGGTACACGTATTAAAACATTTGTAACAGTGATTTAGAGTGAAAACACTTATCAAAATTCACACAGTTACACCAGTAGTCTGAAAAACCATAATCGGAGATTGGTTTATATCTCTTGTAATTGTTTTTTTCCTTGTATATAACTTAATTATAAATATTTCTGTGCTCTTGATGTTTTCCGTGTGGTTTTCTGTGTTTGACGTAAAGGTGATGCTCTTCTGGAGGCAGCAAGGACTAATAACTCACAAGATGTGGCCAGGTACCACACACTGTCTCACATCACACCCTAACAATATTGCATCAGTCATTTTATATTACATATATGAGCATAGACTGGTTCCATTTAAACTATTTTTGAAACATTTACTACAGTATGTTTTTTTAATCCTCCTGAATTAAGTCCTAAGAAAGTAATTTATCTAAATATTAACTTTCACATTATGTGTCATTGTCCACATACTCAAACACCACCTGCTTAAAAATGTTCACATACCGAGTTTTGAACATTCCCATCATGCAGAATTTATAATAGTTTATTATTCTTATTATTGATGATAATAATAAGAATATTACTAATGTTTAAAAATTTTGTAATTCTCATTCTGACCTCGCTTCAGTAATAATGACATTGTTTTTAGAAGACAGATTGCTTAGAATAATCTATTATCAGCTCAAATATTTAATTAAATACATTAAAATATATCAGGAGGCTGTTTTATTGATACTGAATTTCTGGGTTCACCATCTGTCGTCGTCAACCCGAATGGTTAAAAATCAGTTTTCAGAACAGTCAGCATTGTCCACTGTTCATGAGCACGATCTCCTTCAGCTGTAGCTCCGGCTGTTACCACTAGATGGCATTAGAGGACCATCTGTATTTGTGTGTAGAAGATTGAGATTTAAATTTACTGCCTTGCAACAAAACCTCTGGTGCATCTTAAACCCAAACATAATAATGTATTATTCTTTCACAAACTCAGAGCCATGCCTGCTTTGCACCAGTTGTTTTACTGATTGTTTTTTGGGGAGACAATTGCACAAGATTACCGGATCTCTAGTCAGAAGCATAGAAATAACTAAGTCATTTCTATTTTAGCTTTGTCCATTCTAATTTAGCTCAGGAGTTGTGTATCTCAGGAGTGTCCCATCCTGGTCCTCGAAGGCAGTAGCATGTTTTAGTTTTTTCCCTGCTCAAACAATCTTGATTACACGGTTGAATCACCCGTTCCATCTATCATCAAGTTCTGCAAAGTCCTGTCAGTCACACACGGATTAAAATCACGTGTGTTGAAGCAGAGAATCCCAATGTGGTAATCAAGGACAAGGGTTGGACACCACTATTGTATCTAAATCCACAGGTTTGACTGTGTGAACATGTGTCTTTAGTTCATCTGTCCACATGTGGCAGATGGTGTAGGTGAGAGTGCAAACAGTCAGCAGGTCACAATTGTGTTAAGTGCTTCGGATGAGTTCTCAGACATGCTGGAGCATCAAGGTATGTAATATATACATACCTACATATATATATATATATATATATATATATATATATATACGCACACACACATATATATATACATATATATGTATGTATACATACATATATATATATATATGTATGTATATATGTATATATATATATATATACGCACACACACACATATATATATATACATATATATGTATGTATACATACATATATATATGTATGTATACATACATATATATATGTATGTATACATACATATATATATATAAATGTATATATATATATGTATATATATATACATTTATATATATATATACATATATATACATATATGTATATATATATATATATATATATATATGCTGACATTTATGTTTCTGAAATCAGCAGATTTTGTATAGACTGAAAATGATGTAAGCTGAATTTCTGAATCTTTTGCTTTGCAAACTAGATTTCATATGGGTGTGTGTGTGTGTGTATGTTATATACACACACAAACACATTTATGCTTCTGAGATGTTTACCGTCATTGTACCATGATTAAACAGTTACACATCATCACCCTCTAAAACTGATACACAAATGGAAACAAGATGGAAAAAATTGGTTGTTAATATCGGCCCAGTTTTACTTCTCTGCCCAACTAACATCGACCGATACCGATATATATGCAGATATATCATGCATCCCTATTGAATACAATCGCATTAATAGCTGGTTTTTACCTTTGTTATGTTTATAGCAAAAAGTGGGAGTGCGATGTGCCCCAAAGTCCACAGATGGAATATAAAACAGTGAAATATAGCGTAAAATGTTTATAAGTGATAATAATGTCCTTTCCTTTTCAGAGAGTACAATATAAAACCGGCTTTTCTGCTTTGGGGAACCCAAATCTCCTCTGCTTTAACCCGTTAGCCAGTGAGAGCTACTGTTGCACAGAAACATCTGCAGCTGTAACGCTGAGCCGTCCTTACTTCTTGCAGAACGGGCAGTGAAAACAGAGAGAATGGGAGCTGAGAGCAGACAAGACAGAGGACACCATGTTGACTGTAAACATGGACACTGTCTGCCTGCTCGGCGTAAGAAAGGACAAAGGGATTACTTACACACTCACTTACAGGGACAGGGACACTCCAGCACCTGATCTTTTACCCCGAGGCTGAAAATGCAACACACACCTGGCTTGCTCATGTAGACATGTTAACTGGTCATAGATGTAAGGCTTGCTGGAGTTTTGCCTTCTTTAACAAATATATAAATGTAGGAGTGTTCTTCATAACAGGTGTATTGTAAAATATCAAATATGAGAATGTTATTCCCATTATTCTACAGTAAAACTACAATTATTTTGTTATTTTTCAGGCTAATAAAAGAAGGTGTGGCCCCAAACCACCGCCATCGCCTGGGTTGGACTGCTCTCATGGTGGCTGCAATGAACCGTCAGCACAGGTCTGTGAGTTTCTCTTCCAGCTGAACCTCCTGGTTTTAAACGTCTGACATCTGCTAGCATGTATAACAGTGATGTAGTGGTGCCGTAGCACACAGCTGTCAGCGCTGGGTAGCGTGTGAGCATATGTCCTCCACGTTCCAGCTGTAGCTCCTACAGTAACATCTGCAGAAGTGCAAAGTGCAACTTTCAGACTGACAGACGGCATTTACCCAAACCCCCGTCTCTCTGCCCAGAAAATTAAATTAGCCTCCTGGCCCACAGAACACACACAACATAAAGAGGGGCCGAGGTTAAGGCCGGGCCAAATCCAGTTTACAAGGCCTCTTTCTTTCTTTCTTTCTTTCTTTCTTTCTTTCTTTCTTTCTTTCTTTCTTTCTTTCTTTCTTTCTTTCTTTCTTTCTTTCTTTCTTTCTTTCTTTCTTTCTTTCTTTCTTTCTTTCTTTCTGTGTGGTCACTCTGTTTTTGTTATAAAGGGTTTCCATGACGGAAGAGTCTGAGATCTGCATTTAAAAACATCTGAAAAGGAATTAATGTTAAACAACAAACTTATAATAGTTGTTTTTTAGGTTTGAAAGGTTGTTTGTGAGGAATAATGTGGAGAATCTAACGCTAAATGTGACTGCTGGTTATTACCAGTGGCATTTTGAGAATAGTGATGACCCTTTTCATGATTTTCTGCACTTTCTCAGCTTTTATTTTATACATAATAATGAATAAAATATTGTAAATTTTGTTTTTGGTTTAAAAAAGTAACTGTTTTATCTGTAATGTGTTCTTTAAGACCATTTATTTGAATTTTTATGGATTGTGGTGATCTTTATGCCACACAGTGTCTTTTAATATTTACATCCTGGCTGCTGATTGATTATCACTGTGTAGCATATTGATGCACATCACACGGTGTCCTGTGACACGTCTCTCTGTGTGTCAAATGTCTTTTGGATACAGATTTGTGTGTGTGTGTGTGCACGTGCATGCGTGTGCCTGCGTGCTGGACTGTTTTCTTGTGTGTTTGTGTTATGAGTGCTATAACTCAGCAAGACAGACACTCCTCTGTGTTTAATCCCGTCTTCCAACCCCCCAGTGAGCCTTCACTGCTGCAGGGAAGACAGAACATTGGTCCACACACATCATTCATATCTGCACACACACACACACACACACACACACACACACACACACACACACACACACACACACACACACACACACACACACACACACACACACACACAAGTGAGAAAACAAGGGGAGGTTATACCAAATATCTTACAGGCCAACTGCCTATTACTCAGCCGCACACAACTTTATTTGCAGCCGTTAAGTGAAAACACAGAGAACATCACTCATGAGCAAGCCTGTAGCTAGAATGTCAGCTCGGATCTCGTTCACGAGTTATGCCACCACTCGCTCACAGTATTTTTATATTTTTCTGCTGGTAATTGAGGCGATGGGGGGGAGGGGGTCCACTGCAGCCATCCCTGCTAAAATGCTAGTAGATGTAGCATTAAGGAGGCTCTTGTGTCCGGGGCTTGAGGCGTGGCTGTGTGAGAGCATTAGGGTGGAGCAGAGGGGTGTGTGTAGAATGGTGGTGGAGGGGGCGGTGTTTGCTTAGCTTTGATGTAGGTCTAAATCAGGGAGGCGTATGACCCAGACCACTGTTTGCACTCTCTAACACACAATAGTCATCTCCATCGCTCTTTTCCTCCCTCTGTCCCTCCCTCGCTGTTTTCACGTGCACAATGTGCGCTCAGCCGAGTGTAACGCCTGTTGGACCGTTCCAACCTGCTGTCCGAGCGACTCGACAGGTGGGAGTTGGGTGGATATGAGGGAAAGCTGAGGGTGAGCAGGTCATTCAGGGAAAAAGTTGGTTCAATGAGAAGAGAGTGACTTAAATTGAGATTACTAGTTTGGGACTGGGACTACCTGGTACCTTTAAACATGATTTGAGATAATTGTTGAGATAATTTAGGAGCATATGAGTTAATGAGTTGGGTTATTTTTGGTGGACCACTTCCTGCCTTCTAACTGACCCCAGGTGTACCACAGGTGAGGTGGGGTCAAGGGAGGTCCAGCGTCTGGGCCAGGTGGTCAGAGACATGGATGGCCAGTTCAGCTCGGATGTCTTCTGTAAAACAAGAGAGACGGAAGTGTCTGTTTCCTGTCTCCCCTTCAGGGCCGGTTTGGAAACTAAAACCAGGCTCCTCGCCTGTTGGTAAAGCTCAGGTCGACGAAGGTTACACCCACCATGAGTGGCCACGGCAGTTGGATGCAAAAGCTGAAGAGTGACTAACCTTTGGCCTGCTGGAGGTGTTAGCGCGACGCTAACTCACACTTAGCTCGTGCAGTCATGCAGCTGAACATGAACTTGGAGTTTCATCTGGAAGTAGGAAAGTTATCAGTTTCAGCATCAATATATGACCTTTTTTTTTGCACTTTGGACCAAAAGAGAGAAAATATACAGTTTATAATATATTTAATAAGAATGCATGAGTTCAACAGGATGATGCCAAAGAATGTTCTACTGCCTCTTCTATATAGGCTTTCCCAGGGGGAGATGGTTTAAGAACCTATAATGTTCTATTGAAAAGCCTATAATGACCACTTTCACCAGTCCTCTTCATGCCTTCAGCTCACCCTCAAACTCATCTCCTAAATATCCCAAACAAAGTTAGTCACTTGATCATCAGTTAATTAGTAAAACCATCAACCGTTTTCAAAAGCTCATTAGTTGTAGTACTGTCTTATGTAATTAAATCTTAATCCTTTAGCCTTGTTTTCCTCCTTTCATCTCCTCCTGCTCCATCTCTTTGGAGTTTTCCTCTCGTGTTTACCTTTTTTATGTCATTAAACCCTTTCAGACCACCTCGTCTCCTCACACAGTCCTGCCCACCCTCGTGTGACCAAACTCACTCTGAGTTGGTGCGCTCGCATGTGTCCCACAGGATGCACAGAGATGTTTGTAGAAGTGCTTGCAAGGGTGAGAGGAGAGCCCTCCGTGGGTCACGGACCCCCCCTGCCCACCCTCGCCCTCTGCCATAGTGATACAGTAACAAAAGGAGACCCCCTGATAGTCCTTTCTAACCCCTCAGCGAGGTCAGACACAAAGACCTGGCCACGGCGTTCTCAGCCCCCGTCTCCCACAGGAACACAAACGTTAGAAATGACACTTTTGAAAATATATTGTAAAGTTAAATCTGAATAGGCTAAGGTTGTTTTTTTCCATTCATACGTTTTAACAACATGGCTTCTTCCACTGGGTCTGTAATCTATTACCATTATGTAGTGGAGTTGCTCTGAAAAAGAAGTCCCGCTTTATCTTCTGATGCATCATTTGACTCCACTTAAGTCCTTTCTGGCCATTGCCACAACAGTTTAGTCCAGAATGAATCATCGCTCCCTTCCAGGTTTCAGCTTTAACGACGGCAGCGCCTTACCAGCAGGGTTCATGCTTCGGCCACAGCCTGTACAGTCTGACTGGTTTTTGTGTGTGTGTTTGTGTGTGAGCGCCTGTGTGTCTGTTTCTGTGTCTCAGTGTCAAAGCGGCTGGTAAACACAACTGAATGTGGCTCAGTAGACAGAAATGGTACCTGAAATATCCGCTAGGTCACAGTGACTAGTGTTGCCGAGGTACTTGTGTTTACTTTTTAAGGCTCCAATGAAGGGTAGACACAGACCCCCCAACAGTGCCGGAAACGGGCCCGACCCTTGCCCCTTCAATGAGCACATATCTGTGTGTTACAAGGCAGACAAATGTGGGAGAAAAAGGGCAAGAGGCCATTGAAGTGCATCCACAATAACAGTGAATCAGGTGAAAGTGTCATGGTCAGATGAGGAACCAGAAATTAGCATTTGTGTCTGTTTGTTTCCAGGCGGCAAGGATGCAGGGGGTTTGTGAAAGGGTCAAGGTTAAGTTTAAAGATGAGACAGAGACGAGTCTCGTCCAAGCTGAAATTCAACTATTTATCAGTTTTTTTTTCTTTGAACGACACAAAAATCTGTCTCGGTCTCGGATGATTTATTATGTTTTATTTGATGTTGGCTAAATGTGTTTATGCTTGTGTTTGTGAGGAGCTGGTGAAGCTGGATAAAAACTTTGCAATTTAATAACAATAATAATTATAATTGGACAACAAAATAAATTCCTGATATTGGTTGGGAAGTGGATTTAAAACAGAATACAAACAGTAAAGGCAAATAGGGATTCTTTTGAGTGAAAATATTTAGATATTTTAAAAGTTTTCATGTATGAAATAAAAAATCTGACGTTTTTCCTGGTGTGTGAGCGTACTATCGATACATGCTGATTCATTTAGTCTGTAATAGATCTTCTACGTGGACATTTTTCATTTCTGAAATCACAATTTTGAATATTATGAGAAATCTGTAAGAAAATGTTAATTGTTTTGTTAAAGAAGTCTTTCAGTAAGAAGCCATTTTTTTACTTACATTTTAAAAAAGATCATCACTCTGAGTTTTTCATGCAGGCTGAACATGAAAATAGTTTACCACACCAATCTGCTGCATTAGCTTCTGATAGAAAATAGACATTGAAATGCTAGGATTTGAAAAGCCTGGCAGGTCCACGTCACACTGTCACTTAACATTCATGGACTCACTCATCTTGACTACTAGACAGGGAAGGCTGTTGTTGGTTTAGCATTGAGGAAACGGCAGAGAATGTCTCGGCAAGTAGAGGCTAACAGTTAGCATTAGCAACACCACCACACAGCAGAACGCCTTCAAGCTTGTGTTAATCGTGGAGTCAGTGGTAGAGTCGCATTGGTGTTAGCCAGTCAGAGACTAGATGCCCAAATATCAGGAAATGAGTCTAAATCCTGTCGTCCTCCAGCTGAATTCCCTCTGCTGAAACTGCTTTTACTCTGTTAGGAACATATTGATAAACAAGCTAAATCTGTTCATTTTTGGGCGGATAGACCCAAAAACATTAATAATCTATTATTATACTTGATATTTTGGTCGTAACAAACTGACGTGACCCATTTCTGTAAAAGTTCCTCACAGACTCGTGTGTTTGACTTCCAGTGTGGTGAAGGTTCTTCTCGAAGCTGGCGCTGACCCGAATGCCGGGGACGAGTTCAGCAACGTCTACGACACCTCACGGGAGAAAGGCATCCACTCGCTGGAAGGTGGGGAACTTCCCAGTGTGTGTGTGTGTGTGTGTGTGTGTGTGTGTGTGTGTGTGTGTGTGTGTGTGTGTGTGTGTGTGTGTGTGTGTGTGTGTGTGTGTGTGTGTGTGTGTGTGTGTTGTTGTTGTTTTATTACACATGTTAACATGCAGATATTATGAGATGTTAAAATTTGCATAAAAATGTACATTTATGCACATGTTTGATTCCTCGTCTATTATTTATTTCATATGTTTCGTGACAGCTAATGTATTTTTTATTTGTTTTTCTTGCACGAGACACAATTATACATACAAATGCTTGCATGACGGCACACATGCATGCCCTGAGACTTTACACCCACACACACACACACACACACACTCCAGTCTGTGTTGTGTTTCTGTAGACATATTTATATGGGATATGTATATTGCAGACATTTATATGGCTGTCAGGTTTGGGTCCACGTGGGGCCAGCGTAGCGTGGGGAAGCGTTTCCCAGACGCACACTGATGGATGGGCTAGGGGGGTCTGTGCGACGCTTTATTGGGTTAGCTATGATTATCCCACCCTGTGTTTTAGACCCGCACACACACACACACACACACACAGAAAATGCAGAGTGAGACTATAATAGAGAGAAAAAAGACTGATGAAGCAAGGAGAGAAAAGCACTGAAAGAATACGGATGAAAAAAGGTTAAAGATGGAGAACAGGAAGGAGATGTGGATGTTCAGGGAATGACGGAGAGAAGGAGCGGTTGAAGGAAATGAGTGGGATGCTGAGGGAGGGAGATGAGGGGAAGTTAAGGAAATAAATGAGACAAAGTTATGGGGATGGACAAGAGGGGAGGGAGGAAGAGGATGCAAGTGATGACATGGGAGGAAAGGAAGGATGCGGATAGAGGATAATGAAGAAGTAGCACAAGATGAGTCTCCTTATGAAAAAACAGCATAAAGAGAATGATGAAGTATCTTTATTATTACTAAGGAGCAGAGCAAGAGATTCCCCTAAAACATTACTAGTGTTATTTTTGTCATTTTAGACACTGAAGCTAAATTTGAGGTAAATGAAAAACTTTTCTAAAGCTTGAAGTAAAGAACGTAATTTAGAAACAGTCACATTTTCAGAGTCTTACAATTAAATATTAATGGATTAAAGAAAACTCCTCTGGGTTTACAGGAAAAGGCTCCGTCCATTCCAGCTAAAACCTTTAATCACCTTCTAATTAGTTTAATCTCCACCTAGAGCACGTAAGAGCTACTAAAAAGGCAGCCGTTGACTAGTGGCTAATGTTTACATTCAAGTAACATACGTTAGATATGGACTAGCGATCGGACACACACATATCATCCCATCAGATGTTTTTTCCCCTCTCATTTTTAAACTTTTTCAATATCAACAGAGGAAAATGTACATAACTGTCCTGTTTTTCTACCTGTCTTACAGTCCTGGTGTCCCGAGAGGATGAATTCAGCAGCAGGCTAAGCAGCAGAGCTAGTTTCCGTGGCTGCACTGCGCTTCACTATGCCACTCTGGCTGATGATCCACACGCAGTCCGCACGCTTCTGGAGGCTGGTATGTTGCCACTCCCAGTTACAAAAGTCATCCCATCCTTTTGTACTCATACAAGACCCTCACTGGGTTACTTTTTTAAAACATAACATTATTTAGCATTTTGTTACAGTTGTTTGGGCCACTCTAATCTGTCTTTGTTGTGAAACTGAAATATTTACTATAATTATGTTAAAGTAGTGAATAAAGACATTAAATTGAATATCTCATTCAACATTTTATGCTAAAGGTAGCGTTGGTCTTCATAACTTATCTGAAGGCTAACTAATGATTAAACAAAACTAATCTAAAACGTGTTTTGTTCATCTTCCCAGCCCCCATTAGACTCGCACCTGTCATTGACATGGCTCCACCAACACACACACACACACACACACACACACACACACACACACACACATGCACTCACACACCCTGGGGGCAGTGCGTCCCACTCTTTCCAGCAGAGCTGCTTTTAAACAAGCTAGGCCTCGTTGAACTGTGACCCTCACACAGAGCATGCCCTTGGGGTAACTTGACAACCACAGGAAGTGTGTGTGCCTGTGTGTGTGTGTGTTTTACATAACATTATATTACATGAACACGGACACCTCTAAAGGATTAATTCAAGCACTGATATTGTTGATTCAGCTCATAATTATTTGAAGTTGTTTCTTTTTAGGCCGATTTGGTCTTTAATCAAATCGCTGTCATTTTTGGATGAAATGCCTCGAACCACCTTAAATGTGCATGCACACAGAAAAACCAGCATTAACGTCTTGTTTATGTTTATGATTGATGGTGCATCTAAAGCTCTGACCCCCCATCTCGTCCCTGACTACGCTTAAACAAATCACTTGGTCTAACTCGATCAAATGTTCTGCAGAAACATTTTAGAATTAAAAAGGTAAGAAATTTCACAAAGCAGAGACATTTGTTTTAGGACAATCGGATTAATGACAGATTTGGGTGGTGCTCCCCTGACGGGGCTTTTGCTGGCTTGGCGCCACCATCACAGCCAATAACAGTCATGATGTCACACGCTTTCAGTCAAACAAATGTAAAACAGCACTTTTATGCGCTTGATTGATTTAGACAAAGTCGCTGTTGATCCTTTTCTCTTTAATCCGTTTTGTTTATGTTCCATCTTGTCTAAGTTTTGCATCGTCACTCAAAAAGTTGTTTAAGTTTTTATATCCAGGTGTGTTATCTCTTATTTGTGAGCAGCATCTTCTCATCCTTTATCTGCAGACTGCATGCATTCATAAAGTTGTGTCTGTCCTTCTCCGTGTTATTTCCCCTGTGTTTCTGTGCACCCACATTTCTCTTCCTGCTGTGGCTCTGCTCTTCTGGCCTAAGCTGGACCTCTGCTCACATCTCCATCTATCACAGTCTCCCGGCCAACCCTCAGGCTTCACAGCATGCCCCCCCCCCCCCACCTGCAGAAGCTCTAGCCTCTCCCTGAGCTCCACATCAGGCCTCTGGCCAGGGGCACTGACTAATGGGCAGCTCTGTAGGTGGTAGGAGGCCAGAGGGAATGGACACACACACACACGCGCGCACACACACATACACACACACACACACAAAGACCGGCAGGACCTCTCCCACCAGCTGCAGTGAAAAAGAAGGAGGAAATAGGAAAGGGGAGGGACTCAATAGGCATAACTAAAGCACTCCTAATAAAGGGGTGTGTGTGTGTCGTGCGTGCGTGTGTGTGTGTGTGAGAGAAAGAGAGAGAGAGAATGTTCAGCTGGTTCATGTGTGACTTTGGTTGGTGTTGATCTTTTTATAAAGTGCTATGGCCCAGAGGGTTGGCCTGATATTAAAGCCCTAAATGATGCTATTTATTATGTTGTGTGTGTGTGTGTGTGTGTGTGTGTGTGTGTGTGTGTGTGTGTGTGTGTGTGTGTGTGTGTGTGTGTGTGTGTGTGTGTGTGTGTGTGTGTGTGTGTGTGTGTGTGTGTGTGTGTGTTGTGGGGTACTTTATTGCTTTCCTTCATGTTTTGTGGGTGTGTGGTGGGGTTAGTGGTGTATTGTTGTCAGGATCAATAACTTTGGAAGAAGGTCATGAAATTTAGGTGTTTATCGATAATGACCATGGTGATTATTAGTGTGTTGTTGGTGCTCTGAGCTGAACAATCTGCCCCTGCCCTCATTGATTAGAGCTCATTTTTACAGAAGGGATGGAAACTTATGATGGATACTCAGATTCGTAGCTCAAAGTTTTTATCACCATCAGATTTTTATTAACTGTTATGTGGAATTCTCCAGAGAACTCAGAATAAGTTGCCACAAATAATCACCCAATAATCTAGCCTGGCAAGCCATATTATATATATATGTGAGTATATATAGTCTTGTCCATTCACGGCTCTCAGTCGTTGGGCAGAATCATACTGTTGTCTTTCAAACTGTCTCTGCATGCTATTGGATAAAAAGCAATGTGACACACTTACTGCTACAGATGTCGGTCAACGAGGCAGTAAACCATTCTCCTTCAAAGAAGATGCAAATACATCCTTTTTCTAAATAAGATTAAGTACCTCTGTCTACTCTTGACTCAAAGAAAAACCCAAGTCAGAATAGTCCAAAGTTGATGCTAAAACCCTTTAAAAATGAGCCGTTGCCATCTTTGTTTTTTCCGTTAGCATCCCGCCCACCAACAGGGTGCTGTGATTGGCCTACCACACCAATGGAGTGCTGTGACTGGACTGCTACAGAGTTGTTGCCATCTTAGGCCTAGAATATGTACTTGCTGTTTAACGGTGCATACGCATGTTTAAAATGGCTGCCATGCGTAACTTGAAGCGTCGTTTTTGCACGTCTCCTTAGGTTGGCGCAGTTGCACCAACATCTCCCCCCCCACCTGACTGAAAGAGCACTGTGATTGGTCCACCAAACCAATAGAACACTGTGCTTGGACCGCAACGGGGCAGTCCATGATACATCATAGAAGAAGCAGGAAGGACGAAACTACAAAGTGTTTTCTAAATAAACGCGCTGTGATTGGTCAGCCACAATACTGGCTAGGGCTGCAGAGTTTCCAATGGAGCTGGACCAATGAAGGCTGGGGAGACATTTCAGCTGTTAGATTAAATTGTTGAAAAGATGTACGCACAGCGAGGAGATTTTGCTTTTGGTTCTACTAAATGGACACTAGGAGGTGCTAAAAGCAAGCCAAAATTGCCTAGTCTCCCTTTAATGCTAACTACAATCAATCTATACTTAAGGAATTTAAAAGATGACACAAGAGGAATGAAGAAGAATCTGAGTGAATCTTCACCAAATTTCATCCAAAATTGCACTTCGTAAGAAATGAGCTACTAAAACTGCAAAACACACTAAGGGTCAAGGCAAATTTTGAGCACATTTAAATTCCCTATGTACTATAAATATTAATCTTCTTTCCCTCTTTTAAAATTTTGGCTTTGATCAATCAAGTTTTACAATAACCCAAAAGCTTGGACATCAAGTCTCGTAAATTAAAGTTTTAAATGACACATTGTGTGTGTGTGTGTGTGTGTGTGTGTGTGTGTGTGTGTGTGTGTGTGTGTGTGTGTGTGTGTGTGTGTGTGTGTGTGTGTGTGTGTGTGTGTGTGTGTGTGTGTGTGTGTGTAGATGGTACAGGCTGTTGTAACCACTCTGACTGAGCCTCCCACTCTGCCCCTGCTGAGACATTATCACTTCCTCATTATTGTTTCAGTAACTATTATTTTTCTCCGTTTGACCTCTCAGCTGTGTGGCGCTGCAGCAGCCAGTAGTGAGAAGAACCAGTATAATAGTCCAGGGTGTGTGTACGGGTGGAGGGGTCAAAGTGTTTGTTACTGGCACGCGTTGCAGATATGAACCCCCCCCCCCCCCCCCCCCCCCCCCCACAGGGGCATTGCCTGCTCCTTCTGATTCGCAGCAGTGGGCCTCAGTGACCCTTGAACCAATGTGACCTCTAGATTGACGTTTTTCCTCTCCTGCTGAGGAGGCATGTGCATGTTTTGGGCATAAATTGAACAAAAATATTATTTTGATCTGTTCCTCTGCTGTTGATTCTGACAGTTCTGTGTTTATTTGCTTTCAGGTGCCAATCCCCTGCAGACCAATGGTTTAGGACACACACCGCGAGCTTACGCCAAAGAAGGAGAAGTGAGCACAGTGCTGCAGGAGTGGGAGGGCAAGGTATGACACACCCGTCTCAGTCGTACAGACACAACGCTGGATTTGATTCCACCTCATATATGCTCTGCAGAATGCTCAAGCAGTTAAAACAAGATTAGGTTCTATTACAAACGTCCTTTGGCCTGGTCTGAATGACGAGCTTTTCACTCCGCAGACATCTGTCTCATTTGTCGGCCATCATGCACACAGGCACACACTCCTCGGGGTGCCGGTCTCAGTGGCGTCACTGACTGACAGGTGCTATTGAGCATTAAAGTCGTGGAAGCTGGTGGAGGTTAACCGGGGTTAAAAATGTGCTGAGTGCGGATCGGTGAGGAAATCATCATCAAGTCACATTTAAATGATGAAGAACGGCTTTCATTTGTTGTGATTTTTTTTGTGTTTTTTTTTTTTTTTTTTGCTTATACCACAAATCAACTCTTGTTAAATTTTCCAACATGTTTTGGAGCATTTCAGATGTTGTCATGGCTGATTTCTAAAAACATAAACATTTATTATTATTATTATTATTATTATTATTATTATTATTATTATTATTATAAGGATTGACACTTTCCATCCCCACCCTGTACTGAGGAACTGGTCCTTTTGGTCTATCAGTGACCTCTGTTCTACAGTAAGTGCCCTCCTGAGATGGGGAAAGTGACAGGTGTTATTAGATTGTGCAGCTGTTTATAAGCCTGTAGGAAACATGTCACTGCGTGCAAACCTGTGAGATTTTGATGTATTTTTCCTTTCTTTTTTTTTTTTTATTTGTGGAACCACTGTGGGGCTAAGAAGCACAGAAAACACGTCAAATGAAGGGTTTCATGAAGAGTTCTTATTTACAGTGGTGCGGAAAGTATTCAGACCCCCGTCAATTTGCTAAAATCAATTAAATGTATTTGTTTTCCTCATTAATGTACACACAACACCCCATGTTGACAGAGAAACACAGAATTTGATAAATTTCTGCAGATGTATCAAAAACAAAAAAACAACTGAACTACATGGTCCCAAGTATTCAGAGCCTTTGCTCAGTAGAATCACCCTTTTGAGCTAACACAGCCACGAGTCTGCTTGGTAAAGTTGCAACAAGTTTCTCACTCCTGGATTTGGGGATCTTCTGCCATTCGTTCTTGCAGATCCTCTCCCGTTCTGTCAGGATGGTGAATGTTGGTGGACAGACATTTTTAGGTATTTCCAGAGATGCTCGATTGGGTTTAAGTCAGGGCTCTGGCTGGGCCACTCCTTCATCGTTTTAGCTGTGTGCTTAGGGCCGTTGTCATGTTGGAAGTCATCCTTTGGCCCATTCTGAGGTCCTGAGCACTCTGGAGAAGGTTCTTGTCCAGGATATCCCTGTACTTGTCCATATTCATCGACCCCTTTATTGCAACCAGTCATCCTGTTCCTGCAGCTGAAAAACACCCCCACAGCATGATGCTGCCACCGCCTTGCTTCACTGTGGGTGATAGGACAAGTGATGAGCAGTGCCTGGTTTTCTCCACACATACCGCTTAGAATGAGGCCAAAAAGTTGTATCTTGGTCTCATCGGACCAGAGAGTCTTATTTATCACCATCTCAGGGGCCTTCAGTTGTTTTTAAGCAAACTCCATGCAGGCTTTCGTGTGTCTGGCACTGAGGAGAGGCTTCCGACGGGCCACTCTGCCATAAAGCCCTGACTAGTGGAGGGCTGCAGTGATGGTTGACTTTCTACAACTTTCTCCCATCTTCTGACTGCATCTCTGGAGCTCAGCCACATTGATCTTTGGGTTCTTCTTTACCTCTCACCAAGGCTCTTCTCCCCTGGTAGCTCAGTTTGGCTGGACGGCCTGCTCTAGGAAGGGTTCTGGTCGTCCCAAACATCTTCCGTTTAAGGAATATGGAGGCCACTGAGCTCTTAGGAACTTTAAGTGTAGCAGAGATTTTTTCTGTAACCTTGGCCAGATCTGTGCCTTGCCACAATTCTGTCTCTGAGCTCTTCAGCCAGTTCCTTTGACCCCACGATTCACATTTGCTCTGACGTGCATTGTGAGCTGCAAGGTCTTATATAGACAGGTCAGGTGTGTGGCTTTCCTAATCAAGTGCAGTCAGTAGATTCAAACACAGCTGGACTCCAGTGAAGGTGTAGGACCATCTCAAGGAGGATCAGAAGAAATGGAAAGCACCTGAGTTAAATATGAGTGTCACAGCAAAGGGTCTGAATACTTAGGACCGTGTGATGTTTCAGTTTGTCCTTTTTAATAGATCTGTAGAAATGTAAAAAATTCTGTTTTTCTGTCAAATTGTGGGGCTGTGCGTACATTAATGAGAAAAAATAATGTAATTTATTTTAGCAAATGGCTGCAGTATGTGATCAGTTTGGGATTACTTGTTATTAATATGGATAGATTGTCAATCTTTAATCTGAATGTCTAAAGAAACATGATATTTGATGAAGACACATTACAGAAATGTGGTTTTAGCTTGATCTCATGTTACCTGTTGCAGCTTCACCTGTACGAGTGCAAGTGGGCTCAGCCTTTTTGTAAATCAAACTTGAGTTATCCGTAGTTATCTACTAGCCTGACAGCAGGCTGGAGATAAGCAAGATGGAGGAAGAGAATAAACAGCCTGCCTCCACTGCAGGGGGAAAACCTGGAGACTGGGGAGGATAAATGAGTCACGGGCGGCCAGAGAGGGAGGAAATGAGCAGCATGGAGGCAGAGTTAAGATGGGAACGGGAAGTGTATCCATGCTACAAGGTGGAACGTTTTAGGCTCGTAGACGTTCAAAGAAACAATGAAAATGTTTAAAAGATTTAAATATTTTTCCAATAAATATAAAATAATTAAAAGTTTTGTTTAAAGTAAATCCTTTTTGATGCTGATGTAAGATCTGGTGCCGGTGATCTCCTGTACTAAGACACTAGTTTGGTCAGTCTTACTAGATGTTTAGCATTTTTATGCTCTAATAATCTTACTTCTATAAATCTTATTTAATTATTATTCCTGTTGTTTTTATCAACAGGTTTTTAAAATCTGAATCTACATATATCCCTCCTTTAGGTGTGATACTCACCTTCAGGTTAAAAGAGTTTATTTTTTTTTTACATTTTAATTTTCTGCGGCTATAATTTGCCGCCATCTTTGTGCGACTCACTTTTCTCTCCTGTTTGACACATTTTACTGATTAAATAGTCTAAAGATGATGACATCCACCATTTAAAATGAAAAAGTCAAAAACTACAAGTAGTGACTGTTTGAAGACCTGAGGTGCAAGCTAACTCTGACTTAGGACAGGGTGAAGTCAATCAATAAGAAAGGAGCGTAGAAAAGGGGGAAGGTTTTATTTTAACCTCCTTTTCCCTTCCTCCTGCTCATAGATTCAACGTCTCTTCTGTGTTGTTTTTTGTGTAGTTTAAAGAGTTGCAGGCTCAGCGGGAGGCGGCAGAAAGGAGGAGGTTCCCATTAGAGAGGAGGCTGAAGGAGCACATCATCGGACAGGAAGGAGCCATCAACACAGTGGCTTCAGGTGAACAGAAGCTAAATATTATGTAACCCCACAGGAGCTCATGGGTGTTTTCTCCTCTTTGTTTTCCTCTACGTGTTTCTCCTCGTCGTGTTTTTGTTCCTTCTCCGTTACCCTTCTGCTCTCCTCCCTTCCCTGCAGCAGTAGGCGGGTTCAGACAGACCGACGGAGGCTGTAATTGGTTAATTGTGATGAATGAGCTGTCTGTTAGACGTGCACAGGTGGTGTGTGTGTGTGTGTGTGTGTGTGTGTGTGTGTGTGTGTGTGTGTGTGTGTGTGTGCGTGCGTGCGTGCGTGCGTGCGTGCGTGCGTGCGTGCGTGCGTGTGTGTTTGTGCGTGCGTGCGTGCGTGTGTTTGTGCGTGCGTGCGTGCGTGCGTGCGTGCGTGTGTTGTGTGAGAGAGAGAGAGAGACAGCTGAGGAGGCCAGGCTTGGAGCTGCCAGTTAACACAATTACCAAGAGAGGAAACATACTACAGACCCCACATCCCCAACCCTCCTCCTCCTCTGCCTCCTTTTTCTCCATCACTTTCCTTCCTCCCATCTTTTCCCCTGTTTCTGCTGTTGTTTTCCATCCACCTGCATCTCCATCCTCACTCCTACACTTTGTGACCTCTGATGCAGAGATGAAATGATGTAAACAGGAAGTAACAAAACATTGTCTAAAGAAACACATTGGAGAAGGAACAGTGGATCTGACAGAAAGCCGGAGAGCAGGGACAGCGTATAGAAACACGGAGGGTGGATGAGTTAAAGCACAATAACACAGACGACAGTAAAGAGCTGATATTACAGCAGGCTTCCACGGAGGCCCTGTGCTGTATTGATCTGCACATGACAGAGGGAGAGTTCATTCTGTTGCTAACAGACACCATTTCTTATTTTTATGATTTTCTACATTTTTCTGTTCAGATTTGTGAAAATAATAAAGTTTTAACCAGAACAAGAATCAGATTTCCCAGCCTGCAGAACCAGTAACCAACAGGAGAACTGGTTTCATTCTAAAGGACTGAAGTCTTACCGTGAAGATAAGAATCAATGTTCTTATGAAGCAGATTCTCCTGAAAGCCATGGAAGACCTCACTAAGTTAAATAAAAAGCCTATTGATCCCCAAGATGAATTACAGTGAATATGCACTCACACAAGTGAGACGAGAACAAGATGACAGAAAATGTATCTGCAAACAAAATCATTACACATTATCATCATGTGAACATCTGTACTCATCACAGCTGTTTATTATTAAACCCTGAGACAGGACATGGGGGGGGGGGGGGGTGGAGATGTAGAGATGAGGAAATTGTTCGGGGAAGAGATTTGGGATGTTTTCAGATAAGGAGAATGGGATGTAGAGATAAACACATGGAGCGTTCTGCACAGAGCTGGATATGATGGATATAATCACAGATTATATTTAGAGTTCTTGTTAGATTTGGTTCTGCCTGTGGGTGTCCTATTGTAGGAGGAAACTCATCGTCAGCACTTATTTTAGTAGTACTATATATTATAATGTCAGAATGGGAAAGAAAGGTGATTTAAACAATTTTGAGCGTGGCATGGTTGTTGGTGCCAGACGGGCCGGTCTGAGTATTTCAGCTACTGGGATTTTTACACACAACCATTTCTTGGGTTTACAAAGAAGTGTGTGAAAAGACAAAAACTTTCAGTATGCTCCTGTTCCTGTGGGCGAAAATGCCTTGTTGATGCTAGAGGTCAGAGGAGAATGGGCCAACTGATTCAAGCTGATAGAAGAGCAACTTTTACTGAAATAACCACTCGTTACAACAGAGGAATGCAGCAAAGCATTTGTGAAGCCACAACACACACAGCCTTGAGGCGGATGGGCTACAACAGCAGAAGACCCCACCGGGTACCACTCACCTCCACTAGAAATAGGAAAAAGAGGCTACAATTTGCACAAGCTCACCAAAGTTGGACAGTTGAAGACTGGAAAAATGTTGCCTGGTCTGATGAGTCTCGATTTCTGTTGAGACATTCAAATGGTAGAGTCAGAATTTAGAGTAAACAAAATGAGAACATGGATCCATCATGCCTTGTTGTTACCACTGTGCAGGCTGGTGGTGGTGGTGTAATGGTGTGGGCGATGTTTTCTTGGCACACTTTAGGTCCCTTAGTGCCAATTGGTCATCGTTAAATGCCACGGGCTACCTGAGCATTGTTTCTGACCATGTCCATCCCTTCATGACCACCATGTACCCATCCTCTGATGGATACTTCCAGCAGGATACTGCACCATGTCATAAAGCTTCAATCATTTCAAACTGGTTTCTTGAACATGACAATGAGTTCACTGTACTACAACGGCCCCCACAGTCACCAGGTCTCAACCCGATAGAGCATCTTTGGGATGTGGTGGAACGGGAGCTTCGTGCCCTGGATGCGCATCCCACAGATCTCCATCAACTGCAAGATGCTATCCTACCAGTATGAGCCAACATTGCTAAAGAATGCTTTCAGCACCTTGTTGAATCAATGCTACATAGAAATAAAGCAGTTCTGAAGGCGAAAGGGGGTCAAACACCGTATTAGTATGGTGTTCCTAATAATCCTTTAGGTGAGTGTATACAGTATGTGTGTGTGTGTGTGTGTGTGTGTATGTATGTATACATACACATATATATATATATATATACATATATATACATATATATATATATATATATATATATATATATATATATATATATTCAAATACAGAAACTGTTATTTTGCAGTGGTGCATTTGTCCAATTATAGATTTAATTGATAAATATGATTTAAAACCTTATTGAAGCATTTAATCTCACATGATATTGTTTATTTCTTTTGTTTTTGCCCCATAAGTCTTTATATATAATCTTAAAATGATTCAAACAAATCACTAAAAGGTAATCCTAACCTGGTTGGTTCACCAAGATTAATAAAGAAAATGTAAACGTGCTAAATAATTGTCATTTTTCCAGATGAATTGCTAAACTAAGTTGCAGACAAACTGCTTTATAACAAATATTAACCGTTTAATTCCACTGTAGCCAGTGAGCACGAAGTAATTCTGCAGATGTTTTGCTGAATTGATTGTTTTTTTTTTTATTTGCCTACCGAGACTCAAAAAAAAAAAAAAAGAAATTTAAAAAATATTTAGTGCTGTCGTGTCTTCAAAATGACTTTTTGGACCATAAATCCTTATGACAAACAGCTGGCCTGCAGCAAGTCTCTCTTTCTCTCTCACACACACACAGGAAGGAGGTTAGATTGATCCAGGTTTAGCTCTCAGGGCTAAGAGTTATTGAAGAGAATCATCTCTCTGTAATCATGTTAGAGCCAACCAGACACACAGCCCTGTGTGTGTGTGTGTGTGGGGGGGGGAAGCAAGCAAGCAAGCTTTCATTTGTTTCGTGTCCCTTTCCTTCTTGTTGTCGGGCTCCTCTCAGAAATGTCAGTGTGTCCTTCTGTCAAAGTCGGTCTCAATCAGCTAAAAGACGCCCAAACACACTGAAGGTTACGCTGTCATTCATGCAGCCATTGATAAAGCAGATGGAGCTTCGGAGCCCCTCTTGTCACTGCTCATCTCCAGGTCCATCTCTGACACACTTGTTTGTTTTCCTGCCTAACTCTCCGTCTCCTTATCTCCATCACTCCTCTGTCTCTCCCTTCCTCATCTCCTTCCTTTGCTTATCTTTGTTCCTCCCTGAACGGCCCTGCCTCTCCTCTGCTGCTGACAAATATTTGCTCTTTGATTATCAGCTATTAGTGCCTAGTTTAGCACTTATGTCATGTATGGATGTAAGTTCTAGGCTGGTTTAGAACGTGCCTTTCAAACAGAAGTTACAGTGTCTATATGAACCAAATCATGTAAGATTCTAACGATCTGTTCTGTGGGGTACCCCAAGGCTTGGTTTTGGGTCCACTCTTGTTTCTACACACACATGTATGTGTATATATACATATATGATATCTCTGATCACCTATATGCAGATGACATTCAGCTGTACTGCTCCTTGAAAGCCCCACTGTGTAATATTTTTACCTGTTTACTATACATCCTGTTTCCAGTTCACAAACTTGTCCTTTTTAATTAATATTTTCAATTGAATTCAAGTTTATTTATACAGCGCCAAATCACGACAAGAGTCATCTCAAGGCACTTCGCATAATAAACATTCCAATACAGGTCAGTTCATTAAGCCAATCAGAAAATAATTTCCTATATAAGGAACCCAGCAAATTGTATCAACTCATTACTTACAGCCATTGCTTTCTGAAGGATTTGCATTAAGGATTGCTTTTGGTCCACCAGGATTTACATGTGGGTTCAACCATGCTCTCTTCCTGCACAACTCAAGCAACTTCTCCCTCATTTCCTGTTTCCTCTGTCCCAACAGGCTTCAAAATAAAGGCTTCTAGTTTGAACATGTCAAAGTTTTTTAAGGCTGCAAAAATAAAGCCTAACAACAATATCAACTCATAACTGTGTAAACATTATGTAACATTCTTTTTACCAAACAAAACATTCAGGGCAGAACACATTTATTACGTCAAGACTGGATTACTGTAATTCATTACTCTCAGGAAGTCCACAGAATGTAGTTGAAAGTCTTCAGCTTGTCCAAAATGCGGCAGCTAGAGTTCTGATGAGAATTAAAAAGAGAGATCATATCTCTCTCCTGTCTTTGCTTCACTACATCGGCTACCTGTTAAATTCAGAATAGATTTTAAGATCCTCCTTCTCACATATAAAGCTCTTAATAATCAAGCTCCATCATACGTCAGTGATCTGATTGTTCCATACGTTCCTAACCGAGCACTTCGCTCTCAGACTGCAGGTTTACTGGTGGTTCTCAGAATATCTAAAAATAGGATGGGAGGCAGATCTTTTAGTTATCAGGCTCCTCTCCTGTGGAACCAGCTCCCAGCCTTAGTCCGTGAGGCAGACACCTTGTCTACTTTTAAGACTAGGCTTATAACATTTTTATTTGATAGGGCCTATGGTTAAAATCTGATGTTAGCCTAGATCTGGACAAGTGGGGGAGTAGAGGGAGGTGGAGTGTACAGTCGGTAAAGACGGCTCTCCCTTGCCCTGCCTCCAACATGCCTCCATCTAAAAGGCTAGGTAAATCCACAGTTATCTCTGTAGTTATGCTGCTATAAGCTTAGACTGCTGGAGGACACACTGACCACTTTTCACACTCTACTGCTTTCTTCTACAATCTGCTCTTTAACTGTATTATTTCCTGCAATTTCAGCTGTTAACTTCATTTTTTCTCTAAGTGTTTTTCTCCCCAGAAGAAGCTACAATGATGTTCTGCTGAGCTGTGGTGGCCTCATGGAGGGGGCCATCGTCTTAAACACTGCTGCTAATCTCTTAAACATTCTTCCTCTCCTGATAATAACATTTTACTTTCTTTGACATTGAATGTGCTACTACTAGTTTACCCGTTTAATTATAGATTCACTAGGATAAATACAGTAAAGTTTATCTCTCTCCAAATAGAATATTTACTAAGTAATCCCAATGTAACCATAGAAACATTACTGTGTGTGTGCGTGCGTGCGTGCATGCTCTGTCTTCTCAATCACCAGTGGGTCATGGTGGACGGCTGCTTATACTGAGCCAGGATCCTCCGGAGGTTTCTTCCTGTTAAAAGGGAGTTTTCCTCTTCACTGTCGCTAAATGCTTGCTTAGTATTAGGATTGCTGTAATAGAGAGAACAGTACAAAATGCATGAACTAGTTTTTCAGCATCACTCCTGGAAAGGATGCATCTCACCAACACATCTCACTATTTCTCACCAACATCAATTTTAAATATTTCTCTCAGCTTGAAATTGTATATTTTTAAATACATAAACTGAGGTTGACGCTCCATGGTCAGCCACCATCGTGAAATACAGTAGCTGTTTAGGGACAGGAGTTCTGCTTTGTGCATTTGCTCTATGACTGTAACCTGAAAGAACCAGCAGAGGGCAGCACTGCACCCTGGAAGCATGGAGTCTGCCAATTCAACTAAGAAGAAGAGACTAGCTTCACCGCTGCTGTACTTGTTCGTTTGAATAACAAACAATGAAATCGAAAGACACATGGTTTGACAGGTCGTCTATCATGTCCAGCACTAGGAAGCCACATATGTTAAGATCCCTGCACGCTATTAGCTGGACACAAGCCTCGGAGTGGTGTCCCTGACTCCCTACCTCACCTCAAGTTGCTCATTTGTCTTTTCTTTGTACCAGAACTCCCAATCCAGTCCAAATGTGTTCCAAAGTCCTTCAACTCAAGTATCCTCTTTTGTGTGTTTGTCCTGTTCGTTCCTGCAGCCTGCCGTCTCTCCCAACACACTCCATCGCTCGTCCGCTAGCCAGTGGCTAAATCAGCGTTTTTCTACTTGATCTCCACAAACACATTACTAACAGCGATGTATTTCTTTACACGTTACAGAGATGACGTGCTTCTCCGAGGGCTTCTTCTCAAATGTTAACTTTGTACGTGGGTCTCCTTCAGCTGGTAATCCATATAAGCTGTTAGGTCACGCGTAAGCTACATATATATGAAATTGCATTGCTGTCTTTTATTTTTTAAATTATCAGGTGGTTTTACCCTGAAACAATGTGTGAGTTCCTGTCTAGCCCTATGTTAACTGCAGAAATTGACATGTCCCAGAAGTGGCTCGCGGCAAACATAGAACCAGATCCTATCTTTAGTGACTCGGCTGTTCAGGGAAGCGCCTGAAAATTTCCGTGTTGCAGCTGGATTGAAACACCTCCATAGACTATAATGGATTCTATTTAAAGAGGCATTATGGAAGTTTGACAGCCAAAACATGTATAGAAATAATAAATGTCTTCTTCATACATTCTCCTGCAATGTCCTGGTCCTGTAGAATGAGCCCTGGCATTTTTACTGTGATTGCCTGTTTTTCTGTAAAATCACAGAAAAAGAGAGCTGCTCGGGTCGAGCAGGCTGCTTCATGCGCGTTCACGCTCAGGCATAGCCCGTAGCATTTGCCATCAGTAGCTTTAGCAGCAGAGAGCGATGCAGTGCCAACTCAGCGACTTTGTCGCTGTTCCTAACGCCTAGTGATGAACCTAGCTACATTTCTGAGGACCCTTAGCTACTTTCTGTAGAAATTTCTTCTAGATATTTCCTGCAAATTAGCAACAAAATAGCCATTTTCACTTCGAACCGTTCTTTGGTTTGATGTTGTTTCAGCTGTCATCAAGGATATAAATGTTACAGATATTGTGAATGTTACTAGAGTGTACCTCACCTTGTAAGATGTCTGACTCATGTAGAAGACCTGGGTTCAATTCTGGATGTGAACATAGTTTTTTAGAATTTCATTTTTACCCTAATGGTATATTTTTTTTACAGTAAGATGCCCAAATTTTTTAGACTTGCCGAACGACATTGAATTCACAGATAAAAAAGATGTGGGTTCAACTTTCATTTTGGAACAATTTTTCAAGCAAGGGAAGGGAATGAACTGAACATGCAGGAGGACTGACCCATCTTAAACCTTTGTCGGCTGTGCTGAAGAGAAAGGTACAGAACCAAATTATTTAATTAATTAGCTGCGCGTTTTCCTGTCCTCCGGGCCACACACACACACACGACTGTCTCAGCTGTTATTTTCGTTAAGGAGTGTGCACGTACAGCATGCACGGGCCTACTATTGAAGCTACCGTTACGCTTTTGGCCTGAGGGGGCAATAGCGAGCATAAAAATTCAAAAGTCTGTAAAGTCCCTTTAAAGATGTTCCGCTGCCGTTTCGCGCCGCTGATGCTTCCAGTGTGAAGTAAGGGTTACATAGTATTGACAGTCTGGTCACACTTGGAAAACAACTGAAGACCCTTTTATTTAAACATGCATTTACCTAAATCTTTTGTGTTTTCTCCATTTTTATCTCAAATTTATAATCATCTTTCATCTGTTTTCATGACTTTGCTTTTAATGATTTTAATTGATTTTTTGATATTTGCTGTTTTGTTTTTAAGATCATTATGATTTTACGATTTGTTTTGTTGATCTCTCTGAAGCACTTTATGATTCTCGTTCTATGATAAATCTACTTTACTTACACACACACACACACACACACACTGATAATATAGATATGTTTATTATGATAAAGACACGATTACTAATATAATTAAAAGTTCTATAAGGATAATCACAACATTTCTGCTGTTCTCAGTTTCACTGACCCATCCAGCTGTTTTACGCTCTGTTAATAAATAACTTATGGTCACATTCATCAGCGCCGTTACGCTCATTTATGAAAAGAAGACGATACTTCTATTCATTAAACTTCATGGCGTTTGAGCTTTCCAACCTCAAAATGCCACATAAATCATTCTCAATTGTGAGAGTTGGTGGAACCGCACTGCTAACAGGAAATTTACAAACACACACAAGTGACCCCCTGCTGGTAAGACGATGTGAATCAGGACGTCCCAAACCCGGTTCCTATGTGGTTCTGGTTCCTGTAGGCTCAGAGTGGGTTAACTTTGTCTTGCTTCTTTGTTGAGTGCAAAACCATGATCAAATAGTCTCTCTACTCCCCTCGGATCCACATCATCATCTTTTTTTTTTGTATGTGTGAGTTTGGTTGCTGGGGTGATGGCAGAACGGGCACTCCTCTTTAAGCAGGAGTGTGTGTGTGTGTGTGTGTGTGTGTGTGTGTGTGTGTGTGTGTGTGTGTGTGTGTGTGTGTGTGTGTTTCTGTGTGTGTTTCTGTGTGTGTGAGGCTGCGATCTATGCTAAACTGATTTCTCTATGGCCGCGCCAGAGAGGCTAACACAATTACCGCTGGCTAATGGCCCCACTGACTAAAGGGGGGGAGGAGAGGCATTGGGGGGAGCTTTCTGGAGGTCTCATCTTGCTCTCCTGCTCTGTTTTCTTTCCTCTTCCCCCTTTTTTCCAGCAAATGTCTCTGACCCTTTTCTCATCCCTGCTCTTTCACTCTTTCATCATAGTTTCAGGGATCCCATCGGGCCAACGCTGAAAGTTTGAATTCCTGCAAATAACTGATTTAATGGGTTTCTTTCCCTCTCGTCTCTGCAGCCATCAGGAGAAAGGAAAACGGCTGGTATGATGAAGAGCATCCCCTGGTCTTCCTCTTCCTCGGCTCATCAGGAATCGGTAAATCTCATCGTTTCATTCTGACTCTTATAAAGCAAACAGCCAGGAGAAGATCCCCACTTCCTTTGAGTGGGAGCCAAAGTAAACCCATCACTGGTTGTTTTCCTGGAGATGTTGAAACACTTGGTGTTTAATCGTTAATCAACTCAAGGAAGACCGATGCAGCAACACGATAATATAAACACAGATTTGACTCATCTGAAATCATTTGTCCAATGCCACCAACTGGCCTTACTGGGAGTCAAATCACAAGTTATCAGGCAGGATTGTTTTATCAGATTGATAACAATTCAATAAAACTGAAAGGTAATCAAAGACTTTTCTAAAGTCATGAAACAAATTACCTCAGCAGAATTAAAAATGCATCATCTATTTTTCATTAATAACATCAACAAGAATGTTTTTAACATTTTTGGAGTAACCATTAAATCATGGCCATAAACCTGTTTGGTCTTCTTGACACAAATGTCTCCTGTTGGTTTCCTGCTACCAGAAAACAAAACTGGCATTTTTAGTAGACATGTATTACCAGCATAAAGCTCCGCCCACTTGTACCTTTTGTTTCCTGTAACATTCTGAAATGTGTGAGGAATCAGCCATCAGAGAAGCAACTGATCGCATGTTTAAACACTTGTTTGGGCTAATGAAAGATGCTCTCTAAAAATACTGAATGGAGCTTAAAGGGGAAATTTTCTATTGGTTGAGACACTTTAGTCTTTATTACAGTGTAATAACTGGAGGATTTTACCATTAATGGTCTGCGATTATTTAAAAAGTCCTCAACCATCTGCAAAATGTGTGTGTGTGTGTGTGTGTGTGTGTGTGTGTGTGTGTGTGTGTGTGTGTGTGTGTGTGTGTGTGTGTGTGTGTGTGTGTGTGTGTGTGTGTGTGTGTGTGTGTGTGTGTGTGTGTGTGTGTGTGTGTGTGTGTGTGTGTGTGTGTGTGTGTGTGAAGGCGGCGGCAGCAGCAGCAGGGGGAAAGAGGGATATTATGGGCCAGATAGATGGCTAAAATGGAGAGATGGTGAGATGACAGGGCAGAGAGATAGATGAGGGAGAGGCAGTGTTCATATCCTCCGTTCCCTTCAGCGACAAACACTGGCCAGGAGACATCAATATTAAACACAGCAACAAGGCACGGGCACACACACACACATACACACGAATGCCAAGCTCAAGACATCAATATCTCATATGAGCATTTATATGCAGAATATTTTACTGACAAACATAATGTGTGCATCCGGAAAGCTGCAAGTGATTGAAAGCTTTGGAGGAGGAATGTGGGTTTAGGCCGGCACTTAGCAGAGCCCAGAGAAGTGGAGTCCTAACCAAACAGACGAGGGTTGTTTGTGATTAATGGAGCAGTGGCTGGATGAATAATGGGAGGGTTTCTGTGTTTTTGTCTGGTTTTATGTTGGATGACACAGGGAAGACGGAGTTGGCCAAACAGGTGGCTCGGTACATGCACAAAGACATCAAAAAGGTGTGCAACACACACACAGCTTTACTGACACGGGCAAAACCATTATCAGCCGCCTTTCAGCAGCTAACTCTGGTGTATTTACAGGGTTTTATCCGTATGGACATGTCTGAGTTCCAGGAGAAACACGAGGTAAAGACTTTGTTTTTAAATTGGTCCAAATGCTTCGTGTGTTTAATGAAGTCGGTGATTTTCCTGCATAATGCATGACATTATTCCATATGAGAGCAGCTGTAACTGCTTTTTATGTACAGCAGTGATGCACCGCATTGATTCAGTTTATGATGCATAAACTAAAATGACTGTTGCGTTCTGGCTGCTGATGATAAATACATTTAATCAGTGATTGGAGTTGGATTACGTCGCAGACCTAAAGATCCACGTCTGATCGTTTCAGCTCAGACGCAGGAGTTCTCCTTCATAAGGAGAAGAAGGATCACTTATAAAACGAAGATTATCTTTCCAGGGAGAGTTTTTCAAATTTAATGCGAAATTTCTGCACAGCTGGACGATCACAGCATGAAGAGAGAGTAAACGTTTCAGAGAGAAATTATCCAGCATGACCAGATTATAAACCCAGTAAAACTCATTTATCTGCTGCCTTCGTGTCTCAGGTGGCAAAGTTCATCGGCTCCCCTCCAGGATATGTAGGTCACGAGGAGGGCGGTCAGCTGACCAAGCTGCTGAGGGCGTGTCCCAACGCCGTGGTTCTGTTTGATGAGGTGGATAAAGCTCATCCAGATGTTCTCACCATCATGCTGCAGCTGTTTGACGAGGTGAACTCACGTCATTCATCCTCTCATCAAACACGTATTTAGCTGATCGGTTTCTTTACATGGGTTCCTGCTTCCTTCAGGGTCGTCTTACTGATGGCAAAGGGAAAACTATTGAATGTAAAGACGCCATCTTCATCATGACATCCAATGTTGCGAGCGAAGAGATCGCTCAGCATGGTCTGCAACTCCGACAGGAAGCTGAAGCGATCAGTCGCAGGAAGCTGGCAGACAATCTTGGTGAAATAAAACGCACCGACGTATAAAGTTGTTCATGGCTGCATGTGGAAATCCACTAGAGATGCCAGACAGCTCAGTGCAGAGGCAGGAATAATGCCGATGTTTTGGTTTCTTCCAGAGGACGTGCAGAAAAGCGACGACATCAAAATCTCCAGACAGTTCAAAGAAACTGTGATTCGGCCGATCCTGAAGGTACCAGTCACATAACCATGAAGCTCACTGTGTGTGTGTGTGTGTGTGTGTGTGTGTGTGTGTGTGTGTGTGTGTGTGTGTGTGTGTGTGTGTGTGTGTGTGTGTGTGTGTGTGTGTGTGTGTGTGTGTGTGCGTGTGTGTGCGTGAGTGAGTGACACGGTGGGCCCAGGAAGCTGCAGCTGTCACATGGTTCACTCTGTGATTAATCCACAGGCTCATTTCCGGAGGGACGAGTTTCTCGGGCGGATCAATGAAATCGTGTACTTCCTGCCGTTTTGTCACTCCGAGCTGCTCCAGCTGGTCAGCAAAGAGCTCAGCTTCTGGGCCAAAAAGGTTTCACAACATTTTTTATCGTTCTTGGTGGAATTTAATTTTCCAGAATCCTCTCATTTCATAAGAACCTTTTTTAAGCATTAAAAGCTAAAACAATGAAATCTCCAAAAAGGTGGAAGGAGGACAGGATCAGAGTTAGGGTGTCCTCCTGAGACGGAACGCCTCACCACTTCATCCTGCTGCATCTGAGTGGTGCATGAAGGAAACCATGGAGATCAATAGTGTGTGGCGCTCTCTATAACATGATTACAGCGTTTAACGTGCAGCCCTCATCAATATTTAATTACTAATAAAACAGCTGGAGGCCGCTGCTGGGGCCCGATAGGGACCTGATTCATGACTCTTTTCAGTCATCCTGGCTTCTGAATGCCGCGTCGACCCTTTATTGTTGTTTTTTTAAGGGTACATGTGCCATAATAACTCCTGCATCCTGCAGCGATTCAAGCATCACAAATCTCATTATCACTTAATCCCTACAAGCCGTTTAGATTAGGAGAATTAAATGTTCAGTGCAGAGTTATGGTCCAGATCTGGCATCTTATTTATTGAATGAAGCTTTAACATCGGGGGCTAAATGAGCTGCTCTGATCACTACTATTGACTGGTGTTTGATTAAAACACATTAAGGGCCTGTTGATTAGCGCTGGCAGACATGCTGCTTGACAGTATCTGCTGCATTTGTCTCTTTTACTCCTGCGCTCTCTTAACTGATCGTTGTTTCGTTTAACATTAACTCATCTCTGCCTCTCCATCATCAGGCCAAGCAGCGCCATGACATCACTCTTCAGTGGGATCGGCCGGTGCTGGACCTGCTGGCAGGAGGATACAACCTGCACTATGGAGCTCGCTCCATCAAACATGAGGTATGAACTAGGGCCTGCACGACTTAATTTTTTTTTAAGTCGACAGTCAAGTAATGAAAATCGAGTCGACTTTGACTAGTCGTAGATGACGTCATACACCTGAAGTGGGTTGGTTTGCTGGAGTTTTTGACAATTAAAATTGTGCCCACATTTTCAAAGTTCTTTTAACAACAGTAGTTCCTGCTTCAGCCCTCTCCCTCCTCCCTCTGCACAGCGGCCACAAACTCACAGATGTGCCTGCAGCCTCTCAGAGTTTCTGCTGCTCTAAACATTAAAATAATTATTTCATTTTCTGTTCCTCACTTCTGATTACCTTCAATGGTGTCTGTTCCATCAGGAATCTTGGCATGACCTTTGACCCAGCTCTCACCCTGGATTCTCATGTCAGTTCTCTTGTTCGCTCTTCCTTCTTCCATCTCAGGAACATTGCTAAGCTGAGTCCCATTCTGTCTCGCTCTGAACTTGAGACAGTTCTCCACACCTTCATCTCCTCATGCTTAGACTACTGTATGTCTCTTTTCACGTGTCTGAGCAGAACCTCCCTGAACCGTCTACAGGTGGTTCAGAATGCCTGTGCTCGGCTTCTGACCAAGTCCTCCAAACACACCCACATCACCCCGCTTCTGCTCCAGCTTCACTGGCTGCCAGTCAACTTCAGGGTTCATTTCAAGATCCTGGTTCTGGTCTATAGGGCCTTACATGGACAAGCACCATCTTACATTGGTGATCTTCTCAGTTCTAACACCCCCAGCAGGTCCCTGAGGTCCAGTGATCAAAGCCTACTGGTTGTGCAGCACCAGGCTAAAGACCAAAGGTGACAGATCATTTGCTGCTGTGGCCCCCAGACTCTGGACCTCTCTCCCCCTGAGCCTGACATCAGTGGTCTCCTTTAAAAAACAGCTGAAGACTTGTTCAAGCTGGCTTTTGTATGACCTTCTTCACCACTCTCTCTTTATTCTGCTCTCCCCACCTATTCCACCTTCCTCAGGATCCACTGATTTCCCTCTTTCCTACTCACTCTCTCTCTTTCTTAAATTTTTTTAATCACAATTTGTCTATTTTTTTGCTCAATTTAAATATATTTTTAACCATTTTCTAAATTCTTTTTTATATTTTTACATATTTTGTTTTTGTGAAGTGCCTTGTGATTTTTATCTTGAGAGGCGCTATAGAAATGATATTTTCTTCTTCTTCTGTTTTGTTGCAACCACCAGGTACAAAAACTAACTTGTTTTTATTTGACTATTTTTCTATCCTGTCTGTTTATTATCTTCCTGCATCTCCTCTCAATCCTAAAGAAAAACTGCTACCTGGGTTCATATATATTCACCTTATGAGTTACCTTTGAGCTGCAGTTCTAAAAGATCTACCGACCGCAAAAACAGCGGAGTGCATGCCGGCCGCACCTGTGAGGTGAACTGGAGGACAAAACAGGTGATGTGCTCCGCTCCACAGCAGCGAAACGCATCAGGCACAAATAAAAGAATAAAAGACAGAAAACAAAAGGAAATGAGCCGACATGAACGATCATGTGTTAACTTTGTTTTTGAGGTGGCGACACCTGATTTGATAATGTTACTGTGGCCGTGCTCAGGACGCAGATGTCTGGAGCGCGTCAACGATCAGAGCTTTGTATGCGCAAGCTGGTTAAGATTAGGATGGGGGTGAGGGGAAGGTTAAATTGCAAGAGGGTAAAGGTCACAATTCGGTCAAATGTCTGTTTTACCGCGGGCGTCAGATACCGACGCTCTGGCACTCCGCGCCTCCCGACGCGCAGGGGCTCGTCACCTGCTGTCTTTTCCGAGGACTGCACCTTGTCGGTCATTATCACGTGACAGCGACTAGCCGATGACAGGCATAAAAAGTCACTATAGAGCAGTGAAGTCGACTAGTTGATACAACCCCTAGTATGGACACAACTGATGTCTGAGACATCATCAAATACAAGTGTGCGCTCTTAGGGGGGCAGGAAGGTGCAAGAACACAACAAGAGGCTGGATTCGTCGCTTTCTGAGCACCTCTGTGGTTTGTAACCATCAGAGAACCAGAGATCACTTTTGGGATATTTTGGTAACGTTATAGCCAGAGTGAGCTTTTATGGACAAAATTATTTATAATATGTATAAAAATATACACATTTTTACTTTCAAACACTTGAAAGGCAGCAAAATAGTCCAAAAGTTGGAGGAAATGTGACCAGCGTCCAGACTAATTCATCTGTTCTCCTTCCTGATGTCTCAGGTTGAGCGGCGCGTCGTCAACCAGCTAGCTGCAGCGTACGAGCAGGAGCTGCTGCCCAAAGGCTGCACGCTGCGTCTGTGTGTCCAATCAGACGGCCAGGAAGAGCGAGGAGCGCCCAGTCTGCGCCTGGAGGTGGTGGGAGAGGACAGCTCGTCTAGAACACTGGACATTCGTCCTCCACTCAATCCTGAACACTAACATACAACAGCTCCCTCATCATCATCATCACTGATGTCCAGTCAGAGGTGGATAGATGCTTTGAATAAAAATACCTGTGAAAACACAACATCACTGCCTCTATTTCAGTTAACATGTGCAGTCAAAACACGCTAAAGGCTCCACAACACGCAGGACGGCGTCGTCCTGCCAAATCAGAAACTCCAAACCTCGTTTCATCTGTGATGGACAGACCTGTCTCACTCTGAGGACAGGTCCGCTTCAGCCCTACGACCACAAACCACCCCGCTTCAGTGTGTCGCTGTTACACAGAGATAGCTTTATTTAGAGGATAAATAAATGAATATTTATTAAGCAGACTGCAGGAGTGTACATAGCTACTTTAGAGCAAGAAACATCTACAAATGATTCTGATTATGCTGAACTTTGTTGTGAATGATTTGTGTTTTGCCACAAATCCCTTACAGACAGTAGCATGTGTTTATGAAGACAACACTGGGAGCTATGACCAGTAAATGTTGTTTGTCTCACTTATTTTTGTGTGTCATTAAAAATTTAAACACGTAAAGAAAAAAACAGTATTTAAAAAGTTGCTTCATAAATGTTTGAACAGCTCGTTAAGATGCTAAACGTCACATTTTCACTCATGCTGCAACCTTCAGTGTGAAATAAAGCCGTCACCATGAAAAGGACATTCCTCTTGTTTTGTTTGTTTGTTGTTCTGTTTGTGTTGCTGTGACACTCATGATGGATGGATGTGTGTGTGTGTGTGTGTGTGTGTGTGTGTGAGAGAGAGAGAGTGTGAGTGAGTGAGAGTGTCAAAGTGGGAATTCCGCAGTAACAATAACGCTTGTCCAGCATGTGAAACAACATGACAGAGGAATTTCCTTGGAATTCTGCTCCTCATGGGGGTCCGAGTTTAATGTTGGAAGGGAATGCAGCGCAATAAAAGCATGTCACACACAACATCCAGCAGGAATGTGTTGTCCATCGTGAGTCAGCACGTGGAGAGAAGACCTCCACAGTTACAGTGGCTGAGCTGGACCCCCCAACATGCTACATCAGTTAAAGCTGCTCTGCTCCTAAACATTTCCTTCCTTTTCGGTTTTCTTTGTGCTGGAATAATGGATCCATTCACAAGTTTGACTCAGTTTGTTGCTAGTTTATCACTTGAGTCATAGGAAGTGCTCAGAAACTTGAAATGCTTTTAAAAAAGAAAAGTGAATAATCACTAAATGTTTTCGAATGTTGCAGCTTTGCTTTGTAATTTTAATTTTAAAGAATCAATGAGGGCTGGAAGGTTTTGCATCGATTCATTTCATCAGCAAATGTCAACAGGAAATGATCAAATATTTTCTGCATTCACAATATCCAAAGTAGGTTTCTCCACGATGAACCTGTCCTCCGGAGGTTTGAGAGTAATGGGAATAATAGTTCCCCTTACAGGTTTCCTCTTCTGCTTCATTTAAGTGTTTCAGATGAATAAAACCACAGTAAATAAGAGCATTCAAGCATTGTTGAGCCTCACATTTGTGGAGGAATTATGTCCACTTATCACAGAATTGTTTTAATTTGGCCACAGAGGGTTTTCCTGCAGGAACGACATGTTTAAGAACAGAATTTAGGGTTCCATCAATTACAGCAAGTGGTCCTGATGCAGCAAAGCATCCCCAGTCCATCACACAGCCACCACCGTGCTTGACTGTTAGTTTTACACCAGTAATGGCGGACTCGTTCCACTTTTGTCTCATCAGCCCACAGAATATTTGACCAAAAGTCCCGGGGATCATCAAGATGATTCTTTAACAAATGTGGCATATCCTTGGAACTCTCTGATGCCTCACATCTTAAACGTGAGTCCTGCTGAGCTGTAGATGTTTAGGGTTGTAGAGCAGGACCTGGCGTGTTGGCTTTGACAGTTCTGATCATGAAGCTGAGCTCTGCTTGTTATTAATCACTTAATCCATGATTTAAAAAGGGGGCAGTGCTTTGGGTTTGGGTAACTTTTCTCTAGCAAATGAAGTCATCCTCATTAAACTGCATTTTATATTTAGTCAAGTCATCTTTGTCTCACCTCTTTATAAGACATGGCGTTGGTCTCATTCAGGGGTGAAATAAACTGCAGGTACCTGAAATGTCTTCTGCAGGAAGCTGCTGAAACCTCTTTAGAGGAGGAGCACCAGGCCAGCAGATGTTTGCACCGTGACTCCTGGAGTGGCTGCATATGGACAGTAGATCAGGTTTTGCTCTGATACCTTCAGGCTCTTCCCATCTCTTATAACCCTCAAATGCATCTCCACTTTTATGGTTTTAGGAAGTCTGTGTGTGTGTGTGTGTGTGTGTGTGTGTGTGTGTGTGTGTGTGTGTGTGTGTGTGTGTGTGTGTGTGTGTGTGTGTGTGTGTGTGTGTGTGTGTGTGTGTGTGTGTCCATTTACCTTCCCTGTGGAGGAAGACAAGAATAAGAAGAGGAGGAGAGGCTCTTAGTCTGTCCGTCAGGCTATTTCTGACTGCTGCCATTTCTCTGATTAGATTATGGAGAAACAGAAACCAGCCCTCCATCCTCCCATAACCTCCCTCTCTCTTTCTATCTCCCTGCATTTCACTCACCCGCTCCTCCCTCTGCCATCTGTCTCAATGCACCTCCTCCTGCTGCAGAAGGGTAAAACCCCTGATTTCTCTCCTGTTCCGGTTCTGAGGAGAGTTTGGGTGCTCCTGCTGCAGCCAGGTGGAGGTGCTGAAGGATGAACGACTACTAGCGGCTCTCCCATTATCATATCTGTCCCTGCTCTTAACGGGGCATTTTCATCCGTGTCCCTCTGCACTCCTCTTCCTCCCATTGTGCCCCCCTTCCCTAAAGGGAGGCGATCGATTTCACCTCCATTACCTCCCTGAGCTCTCAGTTTGAAGATGCGCCTCATTCATGCGGCTGCAGTTTATCACCACCTTGGCTGCTCACGTTAGGGGAAAATGTTACTGTTGGATTCTGGATGCGGGCGATCACGTGACTCCCCCCAGAGAATTAGCATAAAAGACAAATAAGGGAGCCTACAATAATAATAATAATAAACCACACCAGTCTGTCCTCCTTTCTTTTAAAGAAAATGGACAAATCCATTCCGCCTAATTCGAACCTTGCACAGGGACAGCTCGCGTGGCAGATTGTAGCCTAATTAGTTTAGAGAGAATTTAATTCAATTAACTTTCCACAGCTCCGCGCGCCCCGCCGCTGGGCTGCTTTCAGAGCGCGAGGCCAGAGCTCGAGATCTAATTAGCGTGTTTGGAGAAGCTCTCCTGCGCGCGGCCGGCCCTCGCCGCTCCAGCTGTGGCGTGCTCGTCAGTGGGAGTGCACCGCGGTCTCTCGGGATCTGCGTTGGTTGTTTTTGTTGTTTTTAATCTCAAAAAGCTTCTTTTTAAAGTAACATGCCGTCATTCCATTAGGGTAATACAGGGCAGGATGGTGACGCGCAGGAGAGACGCACGCACCATGCGGATGATCGCAGCTGCTCTGCGTCATGTTCCGCCTGATGTGTGCATGTCCGAATGGACTCATCTCCAGATGAACGAGATCTGATGGGTTTAAATGCATCCTGTACAGTTTGTGTCGTCGCAGCACGCGCTCATTTTCCGCTCTTTTTTTTTTTTTTACAAAATATTGACCAATTAAGCTGAGATTTTCCTCCACATTTTTTGTGTATTTATTTATTTTTTCAATATCAGAGAGTGTTTAGATTTTGCCTAACAAAACTCAAACGAGCTACTTATTTATGCAGTTTTATAGTTTAGTGCATTACAATAACTTTTACGCACGAATTTTCTGAAAAAATAAATCAACGAATCCAGTAAAAGTCCACATTAAGAAACTGGATTTAGCTGCATGAAGACCTGTCTGTAACTCCGTCATGCTGCTGATCTGGTCAACAGGCTTGGATGCGCGCCGTCATCTCGGGCCGGAGCGTCACGGTTTATTCCAGTAATTGAGGACTGATATGCGGGGACATGCAGGCGGCACCGACGGGACCCCCAAGGCCCCCACCCTCCTCCTCCTCACTGCTGCTCGGTTCTCATCCATCACCGAGCAAATCAAATGCGCGCTGCCAGCCTCTGCTGCTGCTGCTACTGGAGGAGAGACGCAGGCCGATGTTAACGGAGGCATCTGTGAGCTTGGAATTTATTTTATGCGCTATGAAATCGAAGATCTTAAGAGAGGTGATGACGCGACACATTTTAGTGACACTCCCGGCTGCAGATTGGCGCAGTCAGCAGAGTTCTGGGAAATAAAAGTTGTTAAAACAACAAAATAAAATGGAAATGTACAAATGTCATGAATTGATTGTTAGTTAAAAATGAAACAGTAATTCATGTGACAAATAAACTGAACAGAACAACGCGCGAAAGCCATGCGTAATTTACGCACGACACGTTTTGATTTTTAAAGTGTCTCCAACATTTAAGATCCAAATTCAAATAATGCACTATGATATTAATTATTTTAATAAGTCTAGTTTATGCAAACATTTCAGCCTGGATTCCAGTTGAATCAATCCACAATGGCCAAATAATACTTAGTGTTTTTTTGCATATTGCGGAAGAAAAATCCACCGCTTTAATTTTCAACAGACTCCATCCATTCTCTACTTTAACTCGCTTTTTTTACAAAGCTGCGCAAAAACAAGTTTGATATCCAGACGTGATGATCAATAGTTTCGCTGGTTTGGGGCATAGGAAGGAACCGTTTCAGGCTCAGGGGACGTGTTGTTCTTTGGCTTTTGGTGATGGGTGGGCCTGGTAGTTTCCCTCTGACTGACAGCTTCACTTGCGTTTCAGGCCACAACGTGTCAGCGGGGACAGGGACCGGGACGGGCCTCCCGCCTGGCTTTGTCCCATCCCTCATTTATCCCTGCAGCTCTCCATATCTCCATCTAAACCATCCATCACCCACGCAGAGACCAGTCCAGATGCATCACAATTAGATATAATTAAATAAAATATTGGAATTTTATAGTGAAAATAATAAAGATCAGGAAAAAACACATTTATTGTAAACTGACGAGAAGCACCTTAAAATGGCCCATACGTGTTTCTCCCCTAATAACCTGCGGGGTTATAATCCCTCTGTTCGGGGTTCCTCTCTCAGGGTCCCTCAGGAGTCTAGGGGACCATTGTGTCCCCTCTCTGTTGACTCAGACGCCATGAATGCCAAAGCTTCTCCGTAACTGTTTCCGTCAAATCGCCCCCATGAATGTAAAAGTCCAAAGTTAAAACCTCTGCGCTGCGTGGAGCACTAAAGGGCGGATTAGGGGCCTGGAAGAGCCCGCTTCTGTCTTTGAAGGGATTAGACTTAACAGCTTGAAAGCAGGAGCTCTAGAGTCGCTCCTGGATGCTCTTTTTTTTTACACTTATTATTTTCTAGGGTCGGAAAGGGAGAGACGGGTTGGAGAGTTTAACTTTGAAACAGTTTAAGTTTCTCGGTAAACTCACCTCTGAACCCTACAGACGGGAGGCCCTGGGAGCTGAAGCTGCAAAATTTCAATTCGGGGTTTTTCTGCAAGCTTTGTGGAAACACTTGACAGATGGTTTAGAGTCGAATCAAGCATTGCAGATTTTAAACGAATTAAAAAATGGGATCGCACCATCGTGTGCGCAAATTCATTAATTACTAGACTTTTATTACGTAATAACATAAGTCATGTTAAGTCAACACTCTCAAGAATTAAGCCCAGAAAGGACAAATGGCTAAAATGGTCAAAGATACGATAATGCGTCTGCGCGCTCTTTGGGGTGAAATGCATTGGCGCACATAAAAACCCATTTGTTAAGTTGTCTACTTATTAAAGGCACGCTGCGTAAAAGAGGCAGAAAAATGTCCATATTATTATTAACAAATAGTTATCACAATCAAAACGTGCACACGTCTGTGCTCACTAAAAAGAAGAGGCGGTAAAGGACAGTAGTGCTGTCGGGAAGACGCGCACAGGGAGCTCCATGCGCTCCACCTCAACCACCACTGGAAACCTTAATATCACTGTAGTCAGCGCAGAGTGGCAAACGCACGCATGCGCGCGCGCGTGCTGCGAGTTAATGCTATTTTAAAAAGCCCAACATCATACAGCCTCTGGTCATGCAGAGAGATAAGAGCGCGCACTCAGCTTTAATATGCCACTTTACGCGCGGGCACACAGGCCAAACTCTATTAAATTCTCCCGCGCGCACACCACGTAATCTTGGTTTGTGGATTATATTATTTGGGTGAAATTTATCCGCTAATAAAACGCCTGTTAATTCCACGACCAGGATAGAATTTAAACAAAGCTGCAGGACTTGGAGAGACATGCTGCGCGGAGCGCGCTCCTCCTGTCTGCCAGTTTGGAGCCCTCCGCGCGTCCGCGTGCGTCTCCGTGTGTTGGGGGGACCGTGTGGGATATGACTTATCACATTGTATGACGCCGTACAATAAACTTAAACCAATTTATGACGCGTCAATGCGTTTATGGTTAGCCTGTCGTGGCTGCGCGGTTGTCTCCGCAGTTGCCTCTCTCCGGTCCGATACATCAGAGTGACGCGCACTCTGGTGACATCTCTGTAAAAGTGATCGGAATCAAATCAAAGCTTTTAATCTGAGCAATCACCGTCACATCTGGACATTTCCGCGCAAATAAAGACTCGCGAGGCTGCGGATGGTTCTGGGAGCAGTTTACGGGATAAAAAAAACGGTGCTGATCGGTTAGGGAGCAATGCGGGACTTGGATTTTAGTCACGCATTTTACAAACGCATTTTTTATTTAAGTATTTTTAGTGATTATGCAGACATTTGTTCTTTAACTAGATCAATTTTTGGCCACATTACGTTAAGGTGTTTTCATTAAAAATACCATAATGTAGTTTTGGGCCCAGACACTTTATTATTATTATTTAAATAGAAAATAGATAATTAAAAAGCCAAATTACAATGCGCAAAGTGACATATCGTTAATAATGCTGAAAAATAAAATATATTTACCTAAAATATGTTTATTATTATTTATTATTAAAACCAAACGACAACTACAAATACCTACAACTACCCCCCCCCCCCACACACACACACACACACACATTTTTCCATTTTCTTCCTTAAATCAAACAAGAAACTGGCACGTCCGATAAAGGAAGCATGTTGAAGATGTGCGATTTGAATGAAGAAGTTACTTCTCGTCTTTAAAAGCTACAGTGAGACCTGCGGTGCTCCCGGTGCGGTGGACGGGGTGGGCGGTGCAGTGAGCAGGGAGGGGAGGGGGTGGGGGGGGGGGCTGTCCGTTTCTACGCTCACCCACTGGTGGCATTGTCATGGAAACAGGACCACCGCTTCGCTATTGTCTCGCGCCCTGCCGAGTTTATTATAAACACCGCGCGAACCGCGACGCGCTGTCAGACGGAGCGCGAGCGCAGAGCGAACCGCAGCAGCGCGAGGAGGAACTCTGAGCAGACGCACAGAGAGAAGGAAACAGCTGGATTATCAAGAGAAACGGTCGGGTGGCAGAGAGGTATAAAAAAGTGACGAGCTCGGCAGAGTTCTGGAGACTCTGCGAGGAAGCTCTGGTGTGAACCGCATCCAGACGCACGTGAAGCTGCAGCCCGGTGCTTGCACCGGCTGACCTCCATGTATAAAATGGATTACTCCTACCTGAACTCCTATGACTCCTGCATGGCGGCCATGGAAGCGTCGGCTTACGCGGACTTCAGTTCCTGCAGCCAGGCCAGCTCGTTCCAGTACAACCCGATCCGGAGCGGTCCGTTCTCCAACCCGGGCTGCACCCCGCTCAGCACGGCCAGCTGCACTCTGGGAGCTCTGCGGGAGCACCAGCCCACCCCCTACTCCTCAGGTAACGCGCACCTGTTTAAATCCTGCAAAGCAAACACGAAGGGACAAAATTATTAGATTCTATTTTATTTGTTTTGATTATTATTAATACGCGTAAATTGTTAAGCGTGCTTTTCATAATGATAAATCATAATTATCAAGGCCTAAATAATTTATTTTTATTCATTAAATAGTTTCCTGGAAAATTTAGAATCTGGTATTTGTCTTGAAATCATTTATGAAAATATATTTAAAATGTATAAATCTTATGGAAAACAAAACACAAATTCAACATCTTTATATATAATTTCAATCAAATTAAAACAAATTTTCGTTTTTGTGTTAAATTTTGAAATCGTATGCTTTTTAATAACTTTATAAGAGAAACATGACACATTCTTCAATGTTAAAACGTTTTAAATTCTTTAATTTTCACAGTAGTTATTTCATTTTATTCTGGAAACTGCGCAATTTCGAGTTGATTAATTGCGCGGCGCAGACCAAAACTTTGTTCTTACTAGATATTTTATACAACCAATGTTTTAATAAGATCATTTTAAAATATGGTATTTATCGAATAAATGTCCAAATTTCCCCGCAACAATGGACAAACACAAACTTATCTGAACGCACAGATGCGAGTAGGCCTATTGTGAACGAACTTTTAATAAAACCTCTGAAAATTAGTTTAGAATTTGATTTTTTTTAAATATCAACAAGTCTTGTTTTACGCACGGCCTCTCCGCGTTTTTCGTTGCCGTTTTCAACGTTGTGGTCATTATTTTTGGTATTTTCTTGATTCAACCGAAGTATTTATCCCCTCTCAGTCCCATACAAGTTTTTCTCGGATCCTTCCGGCCTGAACGAGAAGCGGAAGCAGCGGCGCATCCGGACCACCTTCACCAGCTCCCAGCTGAAGGAGCTGGAGCGGGTCTTCGCGGAGACTCACTACCCGGACATCTACACCCGAGAGGAGCTGGCGCTGAAGATAGACCTGACCGAGGCCCGTGTACAGGTGAGTTCATCCGGGGTTTATTCTTCTACTCAACCGCTTCATCCATCAACCATAACCATCAGTGTTTGTGTTGACAGGTGTGGTTTCAGAACAGACGCGCCAAATTCCGTAAGCAGGAGCGCGCGGCCAACGCCAAAGCCAACAGCTCCGGTGGCACCACAGGAACCAACAGCAGCAGCAGCTCTGGGGGGAAGAAGGGTGGAGAGACCAGATCTTCATCAGACGATGATGAGTCCAAAGAGTCCACCTGCAGCCCCACACCTGACAGCACAGCTTCACTGCCAGGCTCGGCCAATGGGAACCTGGGGAGTCCTGCAAGCCTTAGCCCCAGCCCAGCTCCTACCAACAGCGGTTACATCAACGCCTCCAGTTCTCCGGTGCTCCAGGGGCTGAAGCCACCCAGCTGGTCCAGCTTGGGCCCATCCAACCCAGTGGTGGCCCAGCCGGCTGCCCAGACCCAGGAAATCCTGAAGGCCTGGCAGCCGGCGGACAGTATGACGGGGCCTTTTGCTGGAGTTCTGTCTTCCTTCCACAGAAAACCCAACCCAGCCATCAAAACAAATATGTTCTGAGAGGAGGAGAGGAACGGGGAGGATGTGGAACAGAGGGGAGCTTTTAGCTGGAGAGTTACCAGGTCAGAGGCTCCAGATGTTCTGTCAAAGCTGCAGATCATACTCACAGGTCTGGACTTGTCTCACAGAGTTCTCCTACAGGTTCTGTTTGGACCAGAGCAGCTCTTTCCAATAAAACGCCAAAACTCAACAGACTGACCTTATTTTCTGCATCTTTGTTGCACACCCCCATTCCACCACAGCAGCTCTGATGAACATGGAGGTCAGGTAGAACTTTTAAAGTAGAAATCCAAACACGAGACTGCTGAGGAAACAAAGCAAAGCCTTCCCCTCAAGCACAACCCCTCTGACTCAAGAGTTCCACCAGAACAAACCGGGTCCCCCTTAAGTCTCTTTGCCAAGTGGAGAAAAGGTTCCTCCAAATCCAATTAGAGCAGCCGGGTCCAGACCAGACACCTCGCTCTGAAGAACAGAAGCCACTTTGTTAAAACCAGAATCAAGATGGAGAACTGGAGGTGTTTGACCCCATCTGCTGCAGCTCTGCTGGAGGACTGGATGAATCAGACAGATTTATGAGTTTAATTCTCAACAACTCCTTTAGGTTCTGCTCGCTTCTTCACTTACTCATCTTGACTTTTTTTTTTTTGTAAAAGACAAAGACTTTTATGTTTGCTCTGAACCACCATCAGAAATCTGCTCAAAACGGACAACAACATGTATTTATTAATATTTTGAAGCTGGAGTATTTCTTTGAAATGCATCAGAAAAAGTGGAGTGGCTGTAAATTCTGTAATTAGTAATATAAATATTAGGTAGTTGTTTTTTTTGGGGCTTCAGATCTATTTCATTGCAGAGCATCTGTCTTTCACAGCTCTGGGGAATGAGAAGTTATAGCACTACTCTGAATACTCTAATAAATCTACACTATGAAGGCACTACCCGACACCTCTGCTGTGAGTCTCTGCTTCATCTCAAACTTTCTCTGCAAATGAAAAAAAAAATCAATGCGAAGATTAGATTTTAATTGAAAAAACAAATACAGGAGTGACTTAACACAACTACAGCAGAAGACTACATAACAACGGCAAGTCTCTTTGTTTGTCACACAGAAACACACACACACACACACACACACACACACACACACACACACACACACACACACACACACACACACACACACACACACACACACACACACACACAACACTGAAAGGTTTACAAAAACAACTATACTGAACACATTTAAACAGAAAACCCATCTTATTTGGCTGTAAAACAGGAAACAGGAATATGAAATCTTTTTCTGTGAGTCAGTAAAAAATATCCTGTCAGAAATATCATTTAGAGTTTTGATGTTAGGACGTTGCCATTTAAAAGCTGTTGTTTAACGACCATAAAATTTAGTGTGATCCTAAAAACAGTGTAAGGGAATTTTTAAAACAGGCCAAGAAATCAATTTCTACTGATTTATGGACCAACACCACCACCCACTGGTTACACCAGGGATTGCATCCTCTTGCCCTACAGCAAATCTGCAGAATTTGTGGTTTTACTGTTGAAATATGTAAAATCTGCAAATAAAAAAATAATGAAATAAATGTCTCCAGTTATTATAAAGAAACACAAAAATAAATCCTGGTAGATTACAGAAGAAAAACGTTTTGGATACAAATAATGGATTATTAAATCTTCCCTGAACACTGCACCATTCAGAATATAGACCATGAAACGAGTAAAATGTTAAAAAGTCAAACCCAATGAATGCTGGGTAAGATTAATTTAAATTAAACATCTTCAGTAAATGTAGCATCCTGACTATGAACACATGAAATGTATAATTCAGTCACATCACACCACAGAGCTGCTTTTATATTCTAATGAATCCTTAGAAACCTAATAATTGTGCTTTGTACAGTAATGTGTGGGGATAATTAACTATAACTGATAATAAAATGTTGCATCAGTTGAAAAACACAGTAAAATATTCATTTGGTTGGCTGAAAATTCCCTTTTGTCACAAAACATTAAACATTCAACCATAAATACGTGCAGACACACTCTCCTCAGGCCACCACTGAATAAACACACACAACTGGAAGTAACAAAACAGTGAGTTGTGCTCACTTGAACTGGACCAGCTAGCTTCTTCTGTCACAACTTCCTGTTTGCCTCAGTAACGGAACCCGACGGGACGTTTCCCTCCAGTCACCAATGATGATCCTCACAGTCTAAATGTTTATGATGACGACGAAGGGAAAACATAAAAACAGACTCAGAGGGATGAGTTGTTATGGAATCCAAACTGGAAACAGGATGAATATTTAACCCCCTCACAGCAACAGATGCGTCTGCATTAATAAGCCAACGGTGATGTAGTGATGCTTGAAAGACTGAAATGACTCTCCTTAAAAAAAGGCAATGTCTGTAACCATGACAACGCACATACAGCACAAACAAAAGAAGAACGGTGGTTCAGAAGATGTTCTTGAAAATAAAAAATACTAATGAGTGCAATTTCTCTGAGAAGGCACTTTTCTGGCATCAGGGTGCTCCAGCTTAGTGCAGTTCAGCTGAAATCTGGCCTCTTGGGACCTGAAGTTGTCCCAGGCCGGTTTGGACCAGTCTAAGACCAGTTTGGTGCTGTTTACTTCTGCTGCTGCTGCCTGAGGCTTTCCAGCAGAATTTGTTTGTGGGCGGGGTCGAGCACGCCTGCCTCCTCCAGGTCCTCCTCTGTGATGTCACTGTGGAAATAAATAAATACAATGAGCGAGTGGAAACTCCTCCATCCCGTTAACCAGGTGGTAGCACTAGTGTGTGTGTACCTGAGGAACTCCAGGTCGTCCCAGCCGTTGTGAAGAAGACCCTGCTCATACTTCTCCAGACCCAATCTCTGCAGCCACTCCCCCACTGAAGACTCCCCCACAGACAGAGATGAACTACTGCTCCCCCAAAGAGCCTGAAGGAGAGAAACGCAACAGCAGCTCAGCTGAAACAGCTAGCCACATGATGCTAACCCCAAAACAATTCACCACAGCTAGTTTATGTTGTGGCTGAAGGACAAATTGGCATTGATGTCTTAAATTTAAAAAATTAAAAACTTTCTCTCTTTTGCAGCATAAACTAAAGAAAGTCTGATGACTCCAGTGACTTGGTGCATTTACCTCCTCTGGCATGTCCTCGGCGATGCTCTCCGGGATGGGGTGTCTGGGTGGGAACGTGCGGCAGGCTTCCAGGCCCAAGCCCATAGGCTGCCCTCGCGGCAGCAGCGGTGCCGACGGAGCACGTGGAGGCTGGCCAGGAAACTCGCTCTCACTCAGAGTTTTTGCCATCTGCAGAACTGAACAGGACTGATCGTCCAGCGCCCCCGTCCCGCCCCCACCTCCTCGCCTAAAGCCCTCTCCGTGTGCGAGGGGGCCGCTGGGTCCAGCTGGCGGGATCCTGACCTCGGCCAGGTCTGGGTAAAGAGAGCGGGGTTTGTTGAACGGGGCCTCTGCAGCCATCTCTAGAGCTCCTTTAGGGAGCGGGGGTGGGGGGAAGTCGGGAGGGGGTCGATTCATTGTGCCACCGACGGTCCCCAAGACACCTCCTCCTCCTCCTCCTTGTCCCACTACACCTGCTCCTCCATCATCCCCTGAGGAGCACTCCTGCGCTGTCCCAGGTCTGCGTGGATGAGGAGGTCCTGAGGTCGCAGGAGGCGGTTTGATTCGCACCCCAGCTGAAGAAGGGGGGAGTTTGGCTGCTGGGGGGTTGGAGGAGGTGGGCGATGGGAGGAGCTCGGGAGAAATTGCTGCAGCAGATTGGTTGGGAACACCCTCCAGAATGTAGTAGGCGGGGTTATTGTAGCTGTTCTTGCTGATGGATGAATCTCCATCTGATGGGTCCTGTTTGGGTCTTCACATCAACAAAAAACACATTTTTTTAAAAGCTCTTTTATCATCAAAACTAAAACTTCTCACGAGCGTTTCATTAGTTTGTACCTCAAAGTGATTTCCTCTTTGCTGTTTCTCTCGCCCTCCTCGGTGACCTTTCCCAGCTCTCCCAGCTGTTTACGCACCACAGACTGTCTGCATCCGAAACAAACCAGAGCAAGTTAGCACATTAAACAAAACAAGGTGAGCACGTATCTCCGACTAAGTCCAGGATGTCTCCAGCTTTTCTTCTCAGCAAATCTCATTTAGAAGTGCTCTTCAGGAGTTTGTGTGTCGGTGTGGATTGAATCCATATTGATCATATTGTATTTTGTATTGTTTAATTCAACAGCATATGTTAATCGTATTCCACATTTTTAAAATTTTTTATGCACCAGGAATATGGGGGAGTGCATATGCAATTTGGTGTTTTCGATGGTTTGAGATAAATAAATAAAATAAAAATAAGTAAAATCATAAATCTTTGATTCTTGAACGTGTTTTCTTTAGTCTCTTCAATTCTGACTCATCTGAAACTTGAACTCTGTGGTTGGAACAATCCCACTCCGATAGGCGACGGCGCCTTTTTCAGACCAGATGAACAATAAAAACCATTTTACCCTTTAGAGAAAAACCGTTTACCCTAAACAACGAAGCACCTCCAGGAAACGTGGTGTGTGCAAAATGTGAGCAGATCGTTGAAGAAAATCATCATAAAGATGTTATGCTTAATCAGTAATCGTGAAATATGAAGCAGAATAATTAAAGTTAACACATTTTTTCTATGATATACACCAAAAGGGATCAACGATGATAGGAGAGATCAAGACTTCAGTTGCTGGGTCTGAGCGTGTGGTTTGTGCTGTCGGACTCTTCTGTGATCACCAACAGCTGGTCATCTCAGCCTGGTTTAGTTTCACACCACAGCTGAGCACCAGCACCCAAAGAGCCACGTCTTCATGTTTACGTCATAAACATTGATCATAAGAACCGATGTGGACCAGATGTGATGAGTCTGTTTCTGCCAGCGGGCGGTGGACAAACACACACCAGTAAAACGAACCGCTACACTGAACTGAACTGACTTGACATAATCGTGTCCCACTCTGGACACCATGGTGGATTTCCCTTTGGGTCCTCCAGTCTCATCGTTGTCCACGCTGATCCACTCTGAAATACAATAAAACACTGTTAAGATTCTTAAACGGTCTTTTGGCCGTTTTGTTTTTAGTTTCTTCATAAAGGTTATAAATTACTACGCGAGCGGTTTTAGACAAAACACCACAAAAAAGTTTCAATCTCTTAAAATTAGCCGTAAAGTTTTGACTGCCCCAAAATGAGCTTTTAGCTCATCAGTCCTTCAGGACGATAACTACTTCTCCAAATAGAGGCTGTTCAGGAAGCAGTCCTCATCAGTCAATAACGTTCACACAGAAGCGCATTTATAAAACAGCGTTAGTTTAGAGCCGATTTTCCATGCTACCACTTTAGCTTTTTAATAGCTGCCTGCATCCACACACCCACTGCTGCCTTACCGTACAGCCTCTCCCTGGTTCCCATCCTCTCAGCGGGCACTCGGACCCTCATGGAACCCCGGATATTTCCCGTCTCTTCACCTCGGTGGGACAAGTAAGTGTGGAACTGCTGGGCTGTGCTGCCGATCATCGACTTTAGCGCCAACACACACTCTCCTAACAGAAAAACACACGAGAGTAGAGGTCAGACGACAAAAAAAAACAAAAGACTACTCACTGGCAGACAGAGTCTGTCTACTAGGGATGTCCCGTTCTACTATTGATATCAGCCCAGAAACACTGTACAGGTTTATATGGGACAGCATCACAAACCTCCGATATCAGCAGTACGTACGTTCAGCTTTAAATTCCATTCCCACAATTCTATCCAGCAGCGCTCAGATCCAGCATGCAAAGTCCACATGATCAGAACAGTGTGTGCTAGCAAAGTAGCAAGGAACAATGTCGGCCATGTGGCTGTATTTTTCGTTAATGTCCGAAAAAGACAGTGTGGCTCAGTGCAACACTTGTCATGCACAAGTTTCCCGTGGTGGAACAGAACCAGGGAAGATGAATATGTCCAACCTCATCGTGGCTTCATTTGAAGTAGGATCACAAAACATTGCACGAGGACTTTTGCAGAGTGTGAAATTGAAACTTTTGACACACAACTTGTAGCGGTTGGTCAGTGAACAATATTGTTTCTTTCCTTATGTCCCTAACCTCAGCTGTTCACATTTATGCAACCAAAGGTTAATAAATAATGGGTCAGTTTTTTATACTTACCGGAACTGTTGCTGGCTTTCGTTTTCTACCTTTATACATTCCACACTACGAAATGCGTAAAGCATGTATGATTTGGGCTGATATCATATCGGTTATGCTGATATCGGTATGGGTCCATACCGAAGGCTGCAATATCGGTATCGTATCGGAAGTGAAAAATGTTGAATCGGGACATCCCTAGTCTTTACCGTAGGACTCATAACCGTCCACTGATTTGACGGTGAGCAGCAGATGCTGGTCCTGCAGGTACTCGATCTCTGAGAGGAGGGGCTTGAGAGTTGTCAGCTGCTTGTTGGACCAGCCCACACGGAGGAAGTTGACATTGTCGCTGTTCTGGCTGTCGTTCTCGTAGCTCTTCTTAAACTCTTCAAATGAGAGGGATAAAGAAACGCAGGGAAGAGTGGGGGGGGGGGGGGGGGGGTACGGAGGTAAGGGGATAAGGGGGCGGAGGGAGACGTATCAATCACATTTCAGTCAAAATTTCATAAAGGACAGGAGGTTAACATGTAGCACAGGTCAAAATGGATTCATGTTGATTCTTACTGTCTGATGTAAGAAGGAAGAACAAAGGAAGGAAGGAAGGAAGTGAGGGAGGGAGGGAAGGAGGGAGGGAGGGAGGGAGGGTGGGATGAGGCAAAAAGAGCAGACTCAGGATTATTGCGTCCACTTGGAGGTAAAGAAAGCACGTCTAAGCCGGGGGCAGCAGTAGCTCAGGTGGTAGAGCGGGTTGCCTCATGATCGGAGGGTCATGGGTTCAATTCCAGATCCTGCCAGGGGTATCCTGCTGTTGTGTCCTTGGGCAAGACACTTCACCCAACTTGCCTGTGTTAGTGGTGGTCAGAGGGGCCGACGGCGCCAAATGGCAGCCTCGCCTCTGTCAGACCTCCCCAGGGCGGCTGTGGCTACAAGTAGATTACCATCACTAGCAGTGTGTGAATGTGAGTGTGTGTGAAAGCGTCTTTGGGTGTCTAGAAAAGCGCTATATAAGTTCAATCTGTTATTATTATTATTATTATTATTATTATTAAGCCATTATTCCTGGTTTGGTTTGCCTTGGAGGCTGAGAGGACGTGTCTGTCTCACCTTCCAGACAGGTAGAGTAGAACTCGATGAAGAACTTTGTCCTGCTGGCCGTCTTCACGATGGCCTCGATGCTCTCAAACTCGATGTAGGCCTGCTCTGAAGACTTTGGCAGACCTGCAGGAGGTGGGAAGGAGGGATGGAGGAAGAAGTTTTAAAGTGGATAACAGATCATTTTGAAAAATTATGAATAGAAACAGTCACTGGAACCTTTTTTAGAAACAAACTGTGATGTCACTCCAACCTCAAATGTAGCAAACACAGGGGAATGGTCACTGGTCACGAGGTCATCAGTGCACCCTTAATAAGACAAATAATTACCCACCAAGCAGTAAACAAATAGCTATATTAACCATAAATCCTGCTTCTAGCTCCGTTTGAAGGACCTCTGACTCACCGTAAGAGTTACACACAATGTGAGTTTCTGGGTACGATTTCCACAAGATCCTGTCACACCAGGAGGGGACATTCGTCCTCATCTGGGACGGAGAAAACAAACCAGAATGAACCCACGTAGAGGACAAATGAAGTGGATGGGTCTGTAGAGAATACAGCTAGCAAACACACCCCTGTGGCCTTCTGCTTCTGCCAGACGTACGTGTCCCTGGAGCCTCGCTCATAACGGTACGTAGGTGGAAACGAGATATCCTCCTCCGCTGAAAACAACAACAGCATCACCGTTTATGTCAGTACACAGCAGCTTAAATCCAAACCTTATTCTGAGATTTCTGTGTTTTTTACACAATATTTGTGTATAAATGTCCAGATTTTTATCAAACAATTAAAGGGGAACATGCCAGTTTTGGCTTGCTTTTAGCACCCCCAAGTGTCCGTTTGTAGAACCAAAACCGTTCTCCTCGCTGCGCGTTCATCTTTGTAGCACCTTAATCTAACAGCTGAAATGTCACCCAGCCTTCATTAGTGTCTACAGGAACGATTCATCACTAAATTAAACAAATCAGCTGTTTTCATGATCAAAAACATGCAGGAAGCAGACTGCAGAGCAAGGTGGGTCAGCTCAATATTTTCTAAGTCCCAACAGAGCGGCCTGCCAACCTGAAGTTGCAAGTGGAATATTCTGGCCACAGGGAGCGATAAGGGCTGGATGGCCTTTCAATAACCCTGTAAAGGGTCATTTTAGCAGATACTCGCTCAAGAAAAGGATTTTAAAATATGAAAAACGTGCAGAGTGTCCCTTTAAGACAATCTAACGGTGAACGTAAATGTTACTAGCCTGGCAAGCCAGACCAAATAAATGTATTATTTAGTCTGGCCACGCTCCATTGACGGCTCTCGGTTGTGGGGCGGGTTCTACTGTTGTCTTTCAAATGATCTCCGCATTCCACTGGACAATGAATGTGACATACTCTTGTTTCACTCTGTTGCATCATCCCACCCACCAGGCATATAGAGTGCCCTGATTGGCTCACAAAGTGGATAAAGCTCTGTGATTTGTTCACTAAGCAGATAGAGCACTATGATTGGCCCACCATTATGGACCAATCACAGCTCTTTATGTGTTTGAAACCCCTCTAGAGAGCTGTGATTGGCCAGCCAGAATGCTGTTAGGGCTGCAGAGGTTCCAATGGAGCGTTCCTAGACCAAACTTTGCAAAGCAAGAATTTGGTCTAGTTCACTAGGCTAAGATGTTACAGCATCAACCGATTTTTGACAGATGAAACAGTGTGCTACCACCTTTTCAGATTAAATCACACAGGTGTAGACAAACGTAGTAAATGAGTGACTCAAAACACAGAAGCTCCCAACTAAAAGGTTAAACCAGAGCTGCCACAGATCCACACACCCTGTGGTATAAAAGATGAATTCTGTCTAAAAAGGAGAAAAACAAACAACATAATCAAAGAAACTCAATCGAGAAAATATTTCAATTTAAGTTTATTTATGTAGCGCCAAATCACGACAAGATTTGTCTCAAGGCACTTTACACAGTAAACATTCCAGAACAGTGTTTTAGATTCATAATCAGTATTTTTTTAATAAACAATCTAAACGTTGACATGCACCGCTCACCCACACCTTTTTATTCTCTGCTTCCATAAACCAGCGCTTTAAAAGGATCTGGAGGATCTGAGTCAGAACTCGAGCGGTCATTAGTGAGACCACAAAAGCCGTTTAAGAACAGGAACCTTCTGTTAGTAATGAGATTTTTCTGTTCCTAAATTTAAACAAACCCCTGGCCTCGCTCTGGCACCACTGGGATTAAACCCTCAAACTCACCAAAACGTAAAAATACTTTGTTCTTCTCCCGTTCCAGGTTGAGCTGGTCCACTTTTAGCAGTGGTTCAAACTCTTTCCTGTTGATGTAGTTCAAAATTTCCTACAGAGACAAAAACAAAATGAGACTTTATCCACATTTACTGCATAGAGTAATTTCGTCCTGTTTTACCTGAATATCCATGTCCAGCCTGTAGTTGAGGTCTCCCAACCAGAACAGATGTGTGAAACGCAGAGAGATGTCAAAGGAGCCCAGCTGTTTGTCTCCTAGCGACAACAGCCTCAGGATATCAAGGTAGTTCTGGTTCCTCCTGAAGAGGTCAAAGATCAAACACAGGACTGGTAATTTGGTCTTATCCCACAAAAATAAAGCTGTTTTTTTAAAGTTATACAGAGAAATGAAGGAATGTAGAAAATTGGTGGTATTTTGGCATAAAATCAAACAACAAATGACTCTAGTATAATTAATTAGGTGGCCAGAAGAATGAATGAGCTCTGAAACAAGGTCACTGATCCAGTCCTGAGAAAACATGACATTATTTTCATCACTCAGACGGGCCTAAATCAAATGCTTTGAGAACTTAATCTAAAAGAAAATGTTGAAAAGAGAAAGCTCCTTCATCTTTAGAGTGGGCTTGTAGAGTGAGATCAATCCTCTGGAGCCCAGTCTAAAGCTGGTGGACGTGTGTGGAACGGAAGCTCAAACCTGGCAATCTTCTCATTTCCTGATGTCAGGTGACAGTTCACAAAGCCAAACGATGTTCCATTAAACATGAACGACACACCCACGGCTCCTTTGTTACCTAGGCAACCATCGAAACAAATGTAAAACAAACACAGAACAATAAACGACTTATTCTTCATTATTTGACAACAGTGTAAAATCCAGATGTGAAACAAAGTTATTGAGACTAGGGACAGTTGTTTCCTTTGGAATAAACAAGAACAACGATGAGTCATTGTTACCCAGCGTGTTGGCTATCCCCGTCTTCACGCTGGACATCCCCACGTGGCTGATCCTGTTCTCATGTTCTGGTTTGACCAACACAGCGATTTTTATGTTCCACAGCGTCTGCACCGCGATCTGACAGAAAACAAAAAAAGAGGAACTTGTACTCATTATTTCTGCCTTCAGATCAAACAAAAATAGTCTCACTTCAACTTCCTTCAACATCCCCTTCATGATTCAAACAGATGTGCAGGAGGTGAACGGCTTGATGAAATTAGATTAGAGTCTTTGTTTCCTGTTTCCTCACCGGCTTATAATCCAGTTCTGTCTGATCTTTGAGGACAGCTCGTAGTGTTTCCACCCACTCCCGGTCGCACACCGAGTTCTCCTGAGTCCCGAACACATACAGGTCATGAGGGATGGTGACGGCCATCTCGTCCAGAGTCTTCCCCAGGCCGCGACACAAAACCCACGAAGCCACAGACTTCGGCGCAGGAACCGAGCCTGAAGACGAGAGACAAGAGCGGCCTGTTCTTAAAATACCTCCATCACACCGTGGTGGGAACGCCATTTGTTACAGGATGCTTTGCAAGCCTGACCCATATTCCAAGTGCCGATGAAGATGGAAATCATGTCTGGCTCGTCCTGATTGGAATGCTTGTTCTTCATCAGTTGTAGCAGCTGGCAAAAGGCCTCCCGCTTCTGGGACAAACAAAACACACCCATCAGAGAGAAGGCGTTGATCGGAGGGAATCCCTCCTTAAACACTTAAATGTAAACAGTCTATTTCTATCTCAAACACTGCCTATTTACATAAGTATGGCCGACAAAACAAGTCTAGATTGTATTTTCCTGAACTACTATTAGAATAGTTCTGGATGTGTTACTGAACTAGTAATAAAATATGACTTATTTTCTGTTTGTAACAGAAAAACAACAAAAAGTTTCCCAACCTTAGCACTAGCAAAGATGAAGTCCTTCCTCTGACTCTTATCCTTCTCCTTCTCGAACACAATGCCCAGCTTATTCTGAACCCGCTGTGACTTGATCAGCTGACGTACTGAGAAGACAGACACAGAGAGTTGAAGACGGGTTGAAATTAACTAGATAAATAAACAAGCGACTGATTAAAAACATGTGTTGGGGTTGTTGTTGAAGTGATTTCATGGTGGGCTGAAGCTAAATCTGATATAGCAGAATGTAGCAGCATTTCAGCTTCGGTTTCACTCTAAGTACGTTAGCACACGGCTAATTAGCATCTTAACAAAAAACACTTGTTTGTGTGTCCTAACATCTTAGGAGCTGAAATTTTATTTGGTGAAATATTTTATTTCATCTAGTTATTCTAGATATGTAAGACCTCAGAAATACAAAAGCAAACATTATTTATCAGCAAATAATACGTTATAATTCATAAATAAACTGTAAAATAAAAATTCTAAATTCAAGTTTTCTTAGAATGGATTAAAACATGTCCATGACTAATAATAACTGATCTAAGATAAACAGAAGGAAACTTTAAAGGGCAGGAAGCCAACGTCCAGATGGATGTTTATGAAACACATGACTGATTAGAACGATTAGACGTGTAAACGGTCAGAAACACCATCAGCAGATCAGGAGGGAGGAGAAACCCACTGGTCAGGAAGAGTGTGTGTGTGTGTGTGTGTGTGTGTGTGTATTTCTTACTCTTGTCATGTGTGAAGGTGTTCCAGTCCTCCTGGTTGTCCTTCACCTTCTTCATCACCACCAGCCTGCCCCCCTCCACATCCACAGATAAGGTGTACTTCTGACTCTTTCCAATCTTTGTCAGCTCCGCCAGGTAAACATCGAGTTTCACCTACGATTAACAACACAAGAAGGATAACACACACACACACACCTGCATAAACGCCTCCTGACACACCAAAGACTACACCATCCTCTTTCTTTAAGTTTGTTGTTTCCGTCTGTGTTTAAAGCTTAAAATGTCTTGTTGGGTTTATGGGAGCGGCTGCACGGCAGACGGAGACTCAGTTGTTAGTTTTGGCCGTGACTCCTGTCTCCTGTCAGGAATGCAGAGCTGTCAAGTATGCAGGTGGCAGGAACAGCCAATCACATGTTAGCAAGTATCAGCAGAGCCAATAGATGAGCCTATGGGTGGTTCTAATGGGAAACAGGCTTCAACACAAGATGTTGTTGTTTTCTCCCCCACTTGGTCCAAGTGCTCAACCAGTGTCTATTTAATATAACGTAATATTGTTTTTTGGCAGTAAAAAGTGCAGGGGACAAAAATTTACTTTGGAAAAAGTAAATGTACATGCCCCCCCCCCCCCCCCCCCCACACACACACACACCCCAACTACATCCATGGGTGTGATGGAGGAGAAACTCAGAGGTGACCACCAGGGGTCTCTACATGTAAAAAACTTTTCTCCGTCTCATTTGAAATTATCAGAATCATTAGAATAAAAACCATAAATTAAAAATTTGGCTTTTGACAATAAGATAGTGTCTCAACCAGATAGGACAACTGGTGTTACTAACAGACGTTAGTTTTTTCAGTATCGAGTAATCTAATTACTGTCTTTTTTTTGGCACCACACCATTTCTGTTGCTGATAGGAAAATGTGTGTTATTGTGATTCAGCAGTACGGTGTGTTGAAGCCGCCATCAGCTGATCAGGAGCTAAATGTTTTCATCGAAGCGCATCACGACCAGTGAGGAACGAGGACGGCGTGATGAATAGTCTACGGCTGCAGATCAGGAGACCTGCAGATTCCCTGCTGCAGGAGTGAATCTATGCCCTCCCATCTGTGGGTTTGCAGCTGTACCCGTATTGACTTCCCAAAAGTCCGCTCACCTGTTCACCATAGCTTCTCGCATTCTTTTATGAAAAAAGTAACAAAAAAGTTTTTTTTGGTAATTAGTTACTTTTTATAATCCAGTAATGCAGTAACTAACTGAGTTACTTTTTTGACAAAGTAATTAGTAACTATAACTAATCGCTTTTTAAAGGTAACATTCCTAACACCGGTCTCAACACTGAAAAAAATCTATAAACAACTTTCTATTTGTCACAAAATAAAACATTTATAAGAACGAGACTCTTAATGAGCACACTCACACAGAACGGGAGCCACAACAGATGGATAATGAACACAACAGGAAGCTACTGGAAGGATGTCACCATGAGAGGATGCAGACTCGGCTGACAGCTGATCCTCTTCCCCTCTGTCTCACCTCTCCCCCTAAACACCAGCTCCCTCTGACATTCAACTGATTCTCGTTTTAAAATAAGCATAAAAACCTAACGGTTCCTCGTGTTCATCTACACAGCAGCATGATGTCAAAAGTGATCAACTGCATGGCCACGTCACTGATGAGACTAAAGGAAGTGCATTGCAGACATTCTTTTGGTCCCACATCAGCTGAACTGACACACTTCCTGTGTTAGAGAACACATGGTTTTCCTGTTTTATTGTAATTTAAGCTCAGCCTCCTGCCCTCGGTAACACAAAACCAGCTTTCACTTAAATTTGTGCCTTTTTAAATCTCCAAGAGCTCATTTAAGACTCATAATTAAGCTAAAATACTTAAATCGCCACAGATGACAAGATCCCCACTGCAGGAAAACTGACTCTAATCACTCTGAGGTGTGATGAGCACTAATGAAATATGGAAATATGGCTTTGAGGCTAGCGTGCACGTGCATGTAGGTGTGTACCTCGAAGGCCTGCACAGGAATGGCTTTACTGCGACGCATGGAGAACAGAGGAAGGGAGCCTGGAGAGGACAAACTCATGTCCTGTAGAGCTTTCAGAGCCTGAGAGGGAAAATAAAAGAATAAATAAAGTAAAAGTGAAAAACAGAAACACGATGGGACAGATTGTTTTCAGCTTCAGTATTTGTGTTGGTTGTGCAGAGAACCCGCAGCAGCTAAATCATCATGTGTGTTTGGACATGCAGCTCTGCAGCACTGGAGGCATTTCTTCAGGTTTCTGTAAAAAATTCTCCTCACAGGGGAAGAAAACCAGAGCCCGCAGAGTTAAACCTGTCCTAAAAAGCTACAATCCACATTTCAGAATCAAGAGCTCATATTTAATTTTTTGGGAAACCTTAATTCACAAACAATAACAGTGAATTTTACATAAGGAGTCTTATTAAAGCTCTTTACACATTTCTATATTCACATTATCATGACTCAGATCAACTGTGTTGCCAAAATCATATCAGCCATGAAATACACACGAATTCTGCATCATTAATAAAGTTTTGACAATGCAGGAACTGTGTGTGGGCTGCAGCCGCTGCAGCATAAAGGTCAGCAAAGCAACAGAAACACAGTCAGCTGGTCTAAAAGTCTTCACCCACTCTGGCAGCACTGATCAACGTTAAACATCCAGAGCTAAATGTGCGTTTGCATTTACCTTCTTCTCTATAGAGGACAGCAGGTCTTTGAGAATCGCCAGTTTGGTCACCAAGTTCTCCAGTTCCTGGTCTCCACCCTGATTCACCGACTGACAGAAAAAAGAATGTGACAAAAATATCAAAGATATGGTTTAAGAAAAGAGACTGAGACATTTTACAAACAGCAGACCAGGAAAAAGATATTTGGGCATCAGATTGATTCTGTAAACAACACAACACACGTTTTATAAAACAGAAGTAACTTGTGACTGAATTGATACCATCACAATATAATCTTATCTTAATTTAAATGTCTCTAAAGCTCTTAAGTTAATTTGTGCATAAATAAACAGTAAAAACTTATAATCCTGTGACAAGAAATGTTCCAAAGGCAGCATGGATAAGAAAAGTAAACTAGAATTAAGTTGTATGGTGAAGAAAAGGATCAAACATTATTGGGGAACACGAGACACTTTATATGTTTTATATGAGAGCCCAGAAGGACAGGATAAGTGTGTGATTATTGGATCAAACCCAAAGAAAAACGCTGGAGGTTGCAAACAAATAATTAATTAATATTTAAAGTTATGATGTTGTTACACAAACACTAATAAAAAAGACACATGGAGCTTCAAATTATTCAAATTTCAGTTACATTTGACCACTGAATGTGTTACCAGCCTTGTTACAGAGAATTAGTCAGGAACCATCTTTAACACCACTGAAGGTCTCAGACCTTCTACAGACACAATCCTGTATTTACAGTCAGAGCTTGAGTGCTACAACCTCCTACAGATTTATACAAGCATCAGTCTACCTCCTCATTAGATTTCATTTGCTTTCCATTTGTTTATTTTTGCATGAACTGCCCGTTGAGTTTGTGCATCTCAGTCTTGTGGGACGGGCAGCTTTAGAAGCTTTAAAACACAACACAGATGCTTATCTGGTACTGAAACATGAATCATGGATTTTACTAAAAAGGACTGATATTTCACTTGTTTTCTACTACATATAAACAAGTTCAAAATACACACCTGTTGGATCATCTTCGAGACCATAAATGCACTCTGCTGATCAAACACTTTGGAGAGAATCTCCAGACCTGACAACACCTTGTCCACCTCCCTGTTTGATGCAAACAAAAGCAGGTTTCAACAACGCTCTCTAAAGAAAAACATGGTTTTACTACATTTATCTAAGGATTACTAGTAAGCAAGTGAGTGAGGAATCGTGTAAGTGTTTACAATGAATCAAAGTCCATTGTATATTCTTTGTATTTGTGACCCAAGCTGATGAAGCCGACAGCGCTGAAGACACATTCAAACAAATGAAACCAGCTCTGTGCTCATCACGCATGGATAATAGAGTGTGTGTCTGTGACAATGTGCTGCTCACCCATTAAGACGTTTGCAGGAAGATACTAGTGTCTTGTTGAGATGAGGCAGCGAGGAGGCGCCCTGCTTAACAGCTTCCAGGTCCAACGCGTAGCTGCCCTTCAGGTACTCGTGGGAGATGGTGCTAAGGCCGTTAGCAGCTGGAGCGCTAAAACATGTTAACATGAATATTCAGAGGCTAGGTGGTCAGGTTGTATTAACGCTGTTATATAATGTAATATAATCTAAGATGCAGATAAACCAAATCCCTGAGCTGGTTGGTGTCCGAACAGTCTGGATTTTTAGATTTGTACAGATCCTTAAAGTTTATATCAGCCTGGCACAGAAATAAAAGAGTGAACTAGCATCATCCTGCAGCCAATCACAATAAAGATCAACACATCTTCACAATTGTTAAAGGTGATCATATTTTATTTATGGGACAATCAAATCAATGTTCTCCCCAAACAAAATACATAAACAACTTCAAACAAATTCAAATCCTAAATCACTAATCTGGTGTAATTTCATAAAATAAAGGCTGATATTCTGACGGAAAAAGGACCCTTTCACTCTGGGTTGGATGGATTTCCCTCTCGTTCTTGTCATTTATGAAAATTTCTCTGACTCATTTGCAGAAAAGCACCGTGGCTAATTTCCATGACTGACTTTAGGTTTCTTTTTATGACAACCGTGGATGTTGTGATGCGTTCTCATGTCTGTACTGATCTGCACGTTCTTCATCAGCCTCTGTGGTTTCCAACAGGACGTGGCTTCTCTTTTATGTGAACGCTCAATAGGACATATGTGTAAGGTAGAGGATTTCAGAATGTGTGTTTCTGTTAGAGAAATGAATCTGAAAGCTTTTGTTTGATCGCATTTAGTAGTATTACCTGTACTGTGTGGATGTAACAGCAGATGAAAGAGAGTCAAATAATGCTATCCAAGTGAGGAGACATGCTTCCTCCATCTGAACCATAACTCAGCGTGTGAGGTGATTTTGTTCTGCTCGTTTGTGTTTAGTGGGAAGAACACAATCACATGACCAATAAAAGTAGACTTTGTACCTTTCTGTGGGAGTTTCTGGTGCAGAGGAAGTGGAGGTGGAGGCGGAGCGAGGGGGGAGGGGAGGCTTCTCATCCTCTCCATCTAACAGTTACAGAAAACGAGTTAACCTTTGACCAGACAAGCAGACACTTGTGTGGATGTGTTTGTGCCACCTGAATAGTCCCTATCATCGAGAACAGCCGTCTCCTCTCTGTCCACGGGGTACAGCAGCGTGGTGACCAGGCCCTGACTGGGCTGCAGGTACAGCGACACCAGCTCTGGGAGCGTCTTAAACCTCTTTGGCTGCACGCCCTGAGATGTCTGAGAGTGGAAACGGGGAGACGAACACAGAGAGATGTCACTTCCTACATGGAGCGCTCACAACAATCACATCCAAGCTCCTGGGCTACTAGAGCTGTTGAACTCCCTGGTGGTCCCTATTGTTCAATGTTTAATGTTGTGTAAGCAGCAACAGCCCAGCGAGCTAAATATAAGTCCAACCAGGAAGAGTTGGCCTGATAACAGTGTCCCTGCAAACAAATTCAGCTGCAATACGTGAAAGTCAAACAGGTGCGAGGAGCACCACATGTTCTGCTTCAGCGTGTTGTTGTGTGAGTGTGTGTCTGTGTTAGAGAGGACTTCACACACAGCTGTTACCCATGAGGCACAAAGAGGCTGGTGTGTGTGTGTGTGCACGCGCATGTATGTGTGTGTGTGTGTGTGTGTGTGTGTTAAGTACCTGTACTGCCAGGAATCCCTCCTCGTCTGGTAGGATTCTGTACGTGTGGACGTGCTTCTGAAACCTACAGACACACAGAAAGTATAAATGAGACAAAACTGATGAAAAAGGCAGCAAAAAGGAGAGAAATGCAAAGAAAATTATTTAGACAAGAAAGTCTTGACACTACAAAAAAACAGTGTCTAGTGCTTGACCTTAGGTGTGTGTGTGTGTGTACTTGATTAACTATTCTACTTAACAAAATTGGCATTTTTACTAATCTTCTGAAGACTGATGGGCCTTACTAGAGCCAAACCTGGTCCTAATATGGTGGACCCCTGTTTCAGGCTTAGAGGAGAGATTTTGTTACAGTTAGGTTTAGGAATACACTGGTTAGGTAGAGTAGATGTAACTCAGTGAAATCCCCCTGAATCAGTGCTTTGACCAAAACAGTTTGGATTAGGGATTCACTGGCAGTGCACGGGCCTCCGCATGTCACTCAAGAACTCCCCTCCAGTTGTTGGGTCGTAATGATGAAGAGTAACAGAGCAGAGTAGAAAAAAATGAAAGGACAGAATAAAGAAAAAACGAGAAGAACAGAATAGAGAAAAAGAGGAAAAGAAGAGAAAACCAGGGTGGATCAAGGTTAGGCATAAATGCAGTTACTAAAATGAATGGAAGTCAATACAAAGTCCTAATAAGGAATAGAAAAACAAATGTGTGTGTGTGTGTGTGTGTGTGTGTGTGTGTGTGTGTGTGTGTGTGTGTGTGTGTGTGTGTGTGTGTGTGTGTGTGTGTGTGAACCTGCTGCTGTCGATCACAGCTGTGAGTGCTGGTTGGCTGCAGCATGATACAGTACAGCAGAACCCAGTGTTAAAAGGTAGACACTCTACATCTCTGACTGAAAACAATCTGTTCCAGCTGGATTTTATTTCTCACTGAGACACAGGACTTTCTTTTTTCACAACCCATCACAGATCAATGCCTCTGCCCTGCTGCAGCAACATGCCTGCAGCAGAGTAACGATTTACATGTCTATACCTCATGCAGGATCATTACACCACACACAGAATGTCAAATTTGCCAAACAAACACTGTGGGTTTTGTCGGTTTGTGTGAGTTCAGATGTGTGAGCATCTAAAGCAGCTGAAAACTCACCTGTTCAAGCTGGCTTTTGCATGACCTTCATCATCACCCTCTTCTTATTCTGCTCTCCCCACCTATTCCACCTTCCTCAGGATCCACTGATTTCCCTCTTCCCTACTCACTCTCTCTCTTTCTTAACATTTTTAATCACAATTGTCTATTTTTTGCTCATTTTAAATATATTTTTAACCATTTTCTACATTCTTTTTTATATTTTTACATTTTTTGTTTTTGTGAAGCGCCTCATGATTTTTATCTTGAGAGGCGCTATAGAAATGATATTTTCTTCTTCTTCTTCTTCAAAATACTTGTGGTGCTTTTATTTTAGCTTCAGCACACAATGGAGGACATTTTCCCAGTTTTCACACTTAATTTAGCTGTTTCTCATTTGAGAAACTAAAGGAGGGATTAACACTAAATCTTCAATGTTTTCAATAATCTTAAAAACTAGGATGCTATACAGCACAATAACATGCACAAAACTGTTCTATTTAAAATGAAACTTTAACTATTGTCTCTGAACCAAGGGGGCACCCCATTAATGCCAACACAGAAGTGACTAAATGTATCCTCCTCCCCTCATCGACTAAGGCTGGATCCAATTCAGAGCAAATCCTTGTTGGCTCCCATATAAAAATGCCAACTTCACAGCAGAAATAAACATGTTGCCTGGTTCAAAAAATTTTGGGGGAGAAGACAGAAGTAGTTAACACACATGACAACCCTGAGGCGATTGTAACTTTTCTGTTTAGGTGTAAGTAAGTACTTGAAATTATGAAGAATTAGGTTTGACTGACGGGTAGAATGAGCATCAGCACTAGCAGTGGCAGCTGGTGAAAAATATTTTTGGTGGGGCTGTGCTATTTTTTTTTTAAACAAACTTGTGCTTTCTGAGCTTTGTGCACAACTTCACTATTTCCTGAATTAAGCACAGCTCTTTTATTTCCTGTCTTACATTATTGGCCAAAGGGATTAATCCACGTGTGTCTGACTATTGGCACACTGCCTTGCGGACCAACATTGAAAAATACTGCATTAAATTGCACATAAAATAACATGACCATAAATGGTCCACATCCACATTACTGTTTGTGAAACTAACATACTGGAGAATTTCCTCACAATAATATTAAATAAACAAGTATGTACCTGATCTTTTGCATACTGTTGGTGAAGCTCTGGATAACCCCTGTGATGTAGACAGAGTCAATGTTCCTCTTCTGCAGCTGGTTGAACAGCATGTCCACATGTGGCGTGATCTTGTGACACAATGCCAGCAGAAAGCCGAAATCTTCTTCCTCCAGCATTCTCACAAAGCCTCCTGCCTCTCTCTCAGTGATTAGATCAAAGTCATCCGAGTCTCTGATCATCTGGAAACATCTGAGGAGGTCATCCTTGTGCTCATACACTGTGTTGACATCTCTCTCTTGGACAAAATGTGCCGGTTCTGATCCACTTCTTCATTGTGTTTCTTCACTGCAAGCCTGTGTCCCTCGTCTCTAGCTGCATGGCAATGTTAGCTCTGCCTAGCATAGCTAGCTTCACGGTGTTGTCCATGTGTGCCCGGTGTAGCTACTCATGTTTCTTCACCTTCTCAGAAAAATGTTTCATGTCCGTAACTCCTGACTCAATCCATGCCTCATCTGTCACAGTCGTTCTGAATAACAAACACGGAAAGCAAAATAACGCATTAGCGTGATTCCATCCAGCTAGCCAAGCCTTCCCAGAAGCCTGGTGTGTACAGTTTACCTCTCTCCTCCTCCTACTGGCTTATCTTTACGTCGGGCTGATCTGGTCCAAGCTCTTTGACATTAAGTTTTTCCACCATAGTTCTCCTCTCGAACGGATACTGGAGAAGAGACCGAACTGAATTCAGTGGCTGCTGAGATCCGGTATCCATGCTGGTTGTATCACTGGCGTCCATCTGCGTCACGACCACGACCGTCATGACCAAAAACGTGCTGGAGTAGTCGAGACTCTCCGAGTTCTACCGAACAGCAACGAAAGCCTTTGGCGGTAGCTCTATCGCCCATCATGCTTCTGAAACAACGTTGACGCTGACTGGATACATTCCCATTCCTACCGTTTGATTTTCTTGTCAGCAATTGGCGGACTGCTTTCGTGCTGTTTGGGCGATTGAAACACAGCCCACAGCCTTTCAATCGGCTCCACAGCTCGGCAGAAAGCTTCTGACCAATATATATATATATATATATATATATATATATATATATATATGATTTGTTTTTGTTACAAAACACACAATTAACTTAGAATATGTGATTATCGTTAATTTTATTTATTTTTTTAAATAAAAATTAAAAACACTGGGGAAAACTGGGAGGGCGGCGCCCTATCGCCCTCTACTGGCCAGCCGCCACTGAGCGCTAGCACTAGTAACGAACTCTGGACAAGGCCTCGGCCTGGGCCTCACGTTAACAATGTTCAGCCATTTCGACTCTGAACTTTAGTTCCTCTGTGTGTTCATGTTTGGATGTTAATCATGGAATTATATGGACAAAAACGGGCGAGCCGTGGTTACTGACTGCACTAACAGATCATCCAAGCAATTTCTGCTTCACTTTTATCAATAAGTAAAATTATATTTCTGTACTTTATCTCGCTGGTTGAAAAGGGGGAACATGCAGTGGATTTAACATAACACTGCCTGGTCAAAAATGGGTTGAGATATAAAGTGTTGATGGGGCTGGCTGGGTAATGAAACTGGAGCTGGCTGAGGCTAACGGAGTCATCCAACTTCACTATTTCACCGCAAATATCTGCAAGGTAGCCACTGCAGAAGGGAGGTTTGCCGAGTTTCTGTAATGTCTCTCTCCTGTTAGCAGTGTTGGCTCTGCAATCAAAGATCTGCGTATCTGCCACTCCATTCTTTTAGAGGCAGTCCAGCGAGGCGGGCGCCCAGCTTCTCCCATCTCCCAGATGGAAACAGCTGCTAAACACAACCCCTGTCTCCCGGGGAAGCCAAGCTGCGCGGCCGTCTGGTTTCCATGCGAGGATGCAGTCGTGATGGTCGCCAGTGGAGCTCTCTGAGGGAGACCACAGAAAGACCACAGCTCTAAGTTGATGCTGCTTCAACTTCTGTTAGTGTTATGTTCGCATGTAGCCAATCTCCAGGTGATCTCTGTGGTGCAGGAGCGGCACATGAGCTCACATATGCAGCCCGGGTGCCTGGCTCCGATTACAGCGGTCTGAGGCTGTGCTTTAATTTTAACAATTAATATTAGCTCCTAGTTCCATACTAGCTTGAGGGGTTAGCTCAGTTAGCTTGTAGCTACATTGGTTCAAAGTTTTTTTGTGTCAATCATTTGCTCCCACCTTCACAGTCCAGTCTCAGCTCCAACCCCCTTTTCCCATTTTTGGATTGTCTGGGAGTGTTGAGATGTGTGACACGGCAAAGATGGCAGTGGTGGTACACCGACCATTTGGCTTCATAACAATATTTTAGAGGGAATTTGGTGGGCTATGTTCAGGCGTGTGTGTGTGTGTGAGTGTGTGTGTGTGTGTGTGTGTGTGTGTGTGTGTGTGTGTGTTTTAGATTTAAATTTTATAGTATGAAGAAAACAAATGACTTTAGCACCCAGCAATGACCAATTGTAAAACCTTTTTTTTTCCAACAGGAACAATAAAATATGCATGTTTGTTTGCTTGATGGATATTTTGACAACCAAAAAGTAAATAAATTAGAAAAGGATGATTTAAGGGTAACAATAACCACTCAACAGTAAGTCAGTAACACCTTCCTTAAAGAGTGTAACATTTAAATAAAAGATGTGAATAAATGTACTAACTGGTTTACTGGTGGAGGAAAACAGTGCACAAGCTACACTTTTTGACTGATATAAAGTAATAGTGAGAAAACGGACCCTTCACTATTTTATACTCAGTTTAGCTCAGGGTACCACTATGTACAGGATAAATGTTTAGTTCTCTAAAACTGTCAACACACAATGCACCATACATTCCAGAGAACAGAATGTATAACCAAGCACCCCAGCAGTGTGTGTGTGTGTGTGTGTGTGTGTGTGTGTGTGTGTGTGTGTGTGTGTGTGTGTGTGTGTGTGTGTGTGTGTGTGTGTGTGTGTGTGTGTGTGTGTGTGTGTGTGTGTGTGTGTGTGTGTGTGTGTGTGTGTGTGTGTACCTGTCTTTATAGAAATGTGTCGTTTTTACCATTAATTTCTGGAAATATCCATCAAAATGTTGTTGAAAATGAATGGAACGATGCCCAGTTGTTGAAAAATATTGGCGACTTCATGACATATAACCACGGGTCTGTCTCTGGGCGGCGTCATATTACACGCCATGTTTCCTTCTACGGGAGTCCATGAGGACAAAATCAATTTAGTGATTTGTAACAAACAGTTACAAAACTTTCGCCATTCTTAAATTTTGTTGTTTTACACGTTTACCTCTTCACTTGTTGCCAGTGATGAAAGGGAGTCTGATGTGTTTGTTATTTTGCTCAAGTTTGTACTCCCCGACAGAGCCCTGCACTGAAGCCCTAGGCCCTCAGGTCGGCCCGGACCAACGGCCCGAGGGCCGGGCTTCGGGCCAACAACTGTGTAATTACCTCGGACATGGGCCGGGCACTTTTATTTTTAATCGAATTCATAAAAAAAATAAATGAAACACTTGAACGCAGCAGCACCTGCCTGCTTCTCACGCACCGGCACCGTTAACTCAGTTTATAAATGCACCTATATAAACGAATTCTCAAACTGCTGATTGTAACATGTGCCCCTATTCTAATATGCCATTTTATGTCCACTTTGATGTCAGAAACCATTCGTTTATTCTCATGAAAACAAGCAGCATTCTATTTTTCTGTGAATAAATGCGCTCTGCAGTTCAAAAAAATACAGCATTCATTGCTGTTTTTTTTCTAACTGGAGAGCGCATTTTCAGAGCGGCAGATCAAATTTACAAACGCTAATTGGGGGCGTTTATTTAATCTGCCGTTCTGAAAATGTGCGCTGCAGTTCGAAAAATACAACATTCATTGCTGTTTATTTTGACTTTTAGTTTAGATTAGGTTTAGGCATAGTAAAGCCACTCAAATGAATGACAGGTTCACACAAGCACAAGGATACAAATACAAGTGTGTGTGTTGCTGCTGGCAGCTGCAGAGATTCTCTGCAGGTCTGTGATGTAAATATTATTGTTTCTGTAACTGCACAGTAAACAGGGGGAGGAAGATGAAGACAAAGAGTGTGTGTGTGAGTGGGGGTTACCATGGAACAGAGATTGACTATGTTTACAAGGCACAAGTCTTGTCAACAAACGTCAGCATTTGGGGCAAAGACAGTCCTGTTAACTTAGTGCATCCTCCTCCTTCTGTGCCTCTTAGAGAAAACACACACACACACACACACACACACACACACACACACACACACACACACAGTTGTCGCCATATGAGTTTTCAATGCTCATCCAGTCTCTGACATCACATTTATCTAGTGCTGCCACGATCAGTCGATTCATCACGATGGCGTAGACAAGTATTCTATGAAGTATTTTCTTATCTTGCCTGCTGAGGCACCACTGGTGCTTTCTGCTTGAGGCACATGTTCAGCAGTGGCCATCCGAGCGAGCTGTCATGTCACCGGAAAAAACAAGACATGGCAAGCTGGCAACACAGCTCAAAAGTCGGAGAGTATTTTACAAAGGCAAAAGAGAAGCATGTACTGCGCAAAAACTGCAAAATAGACCTCTCCTTTCGTGAGAGCACAACAGTGATGCACAAGCACCTTAACAAGAAGCACGTCGTGGTGGAGGACAAGGAGGAGCAGTCACCTCTGTAAGCTAATTACCGCTTGTTAGCTGCTAACATCAACATGGAGTTACTTGCATTTATTGCTGTAGCAACAGTAGTGATGGTGACTTTGTTACCTTTAACACACGTATGTCACATTTGCTCTAACATTACAAACGCTGATGATTTATTGTACTGTATCCTGAGACATGATTAGTCAACGAATCACCAAAAAAAATAGAGCTAGTCGACTACTAAAATAATCGGTGGCAGGCCTACATTTTTCATGACTGGAATTGTTGGTCAAGTATTGGTTCAAGCATAATCTGACTGTCCTTAAGGCAAGAGAATCACTATGTTGGTACAAAATATTCTTATTTAAACAATTATTAGATCTGCTTAAGTAGCTGGTGTTGATAACTCCTGTGAGATAACAGCAGATGGCATCATGTACACATTCAGATTTCAACACTCTCAAATACACTCAATTTGTTTTTTATTAAGTTTTATTTCCATTAAACGTATTTATGAGCATAGCCTGGTGTGGGCTAAAGCTACGAAAACAGGCTCTTCTACTGATTGGCTCCTTTGCAGACAACTAAGCTACAAATGCACTTCCTTTATAAAGCTTTCATGTCCCACCCACCTACATTATTAAGGATCCTGTTCCTGTCTATGATAAAATGGAGATTGTTAATTGGTTTAACAAGCATTTTATTTCTTCTGGCACTTTGATGGATTCTCTGAATTCAGTCTCTAAAAATCTGCACAGTCCTTCTGCTCTATACTGGCCAACAACTTAACAATGTTCCTTTTTCTGTGCAGGAGGTGCATACAGCCATTAAAGCACTGATCACAGAAAATCATCAGGACCTGACTTAATAGATCCATATTTCTTGAAACCAGCAGCCAACTTTGTGGCACAGTCTCTCACAAGTCTTTTAAACCTCACATTAGTTATGAAAGAAATTCCCTCAGTGTGGAAATCGGCCTTTTTGTCCCTTTATTTAAATGGAGGAGATCTAACAGTATTTATCTAATTACAGCCCAATATCTAATTTATCTGAGCTGGCTAAAGTAATTTAAGCTCTTGTGAGTGAGCAATTAAAGGAATTTTTAAACACCAATGCCATTATATCTTGAATATCAATGAACAATCAGGCTTTACAAAAACAGACAATACTACCAGGGCGGCACTAGTAAATTATATAAATGTAGCCTTGGACAAAAAACAGCATTGTTTATCCCTTTTATTAGATTTGTCTAAAGCATTCAACACTATTGATCACAGTATTTTAAAACTTAGACTCCTCCAGACAGGACTGTCTGAGAGAGCAGTAGGATGGTTCTCAAATTTCCTCAGTAACAGTGCATTCAATCAGATGGACTTTGTTTTGAG